GATACATAATTTGTTAGTTTCAACAATAATGAAATATCCTTAGTGTCAGGAAAGCCAAATGCAAGTAACAACAAAATACTTTTACTTTTAAGGGAGTAAGAGTAATATCGGCAAAAATTCGATATTTATCAAGAATTTCGTAAGACACACATAGATAAATTCATGAGATTGAGTTGAATAATCAAGTTAGACAAATTGTGGTACTATAGTGGAACAAAATCAGAAGGGATAGAAGTAGACCAGTTGTAGAAAAATTCAATAAGGCATAAAAGTGGAAAAGAATGTTGACTTTACCAAACTATGGATTTTGACAGTAGTAGACAAGAAGTTGGAATATGTTTCGATCACCCCCATATTTATGGCCTTCCTGAAGGCTTGCTAAAAGCCTTGACAACACAAATTAGGAAAAATTACGTCCCATGAGATTGATTCCAATTTTCGTATAGATAACTTTGAATGGTTAGTCTGTTTTTATGAATCAAATGCTTTTACAAAATATCAGCAAGTGAATTTGTTGTTGAGCGTCTGGTACTTTCACTCCTGTCCTTAGGAATGGGACGGTTAAGCGTTACGTGAAGTAGTCAACGATTTAATGTCTCGACGATAGAATACGTATCGAGCGTCCAGTTTATGTAACTACACAGCAACATGTCAAAAAATAAATGACAATTTAGTTGATCAGATACGATATTTATATTACATCAGTTTATTTGTAAACACAGACTGACCAGAGGACAACTACCCAATAGTAGCAGTAATTATTATTACTATTTATTCTCACATAACAACTGTATTATACGAGGCATGCCAGATTACAGACAATATTAAAATGTTACGGGATTTACTGTAATGAGTTAATCAGTTAGGTGGATATGTGTTATAACTTGTGGTCTGAGTGCCCTGTTAATGGCTAACGTAATAATATCGCCAATCAGAGAGCAGTGAATTATCGATCGGGCCAAGGACGCGTGAAGCGGTATGAGCAGTCTAGAGTCATTATTAGTCTCGCTTCCTGTCTAGCCCAGCCAGTTCAGTTCAGATCATCAATCCGAGCCTCTGCGATATGAATCATATATTTCAAACATACTTGGTTTACATACCAATCAAACAGACCAAAACGTACCATAAAATAGAAAATAACATTTATACAAAATTTGGCCAAATGTGGCTGTGAATGTGGGAGGTTGTGATTAATAGACAGGGGATAATTCAAGAATGGTAAAACGTATAATAATGGTTCATAGGTCAAAATAAAGCTTATAATAAGAGGGACATGAATATGAATAGTTCAGTTAATTAACAATTATACGATAAAAATGTACGTTTAGTATTGATCGATAAATGGATCCAAAGTTACCATTCATTATGCTAACGAGACCTAACACAACTCCCCTTTTTTAAGATCCGGCCTAACACATTGATCATAGAAACAAGTAGCAGCAGGCTTCTGTGGATCCGGTCTTTACTAGGAATAGATCTATCAGCTGTCCTCCATGCACCAATTTGTAGTACAGCCCATCTCATGAATTCTGTATGATGTTGACGATATTCTCAACTATACCACAGTATCGAAGAAGGTTACTTAATGTTCTCCTATCCAATTTGTCGAATGCCTTCTCATTGTTAAGGAAGGTGATGTATAGTGACAAATCCCATCCTATTTACTGCTCAACAATGATCCATATTGTAGTGATGTGGTCTGTGCATGACCGGTCCTTATAGAATCCAGGCTGTTGACCTCGCAGTTGGACGTCTACTGAATCTTTTATTCAGTCCAGTAACACTCTGTTGGGAACCTTCCCTGGTACTGATAGTAGTGTGATGTCTTTATAGTTCTCACACTTGCTCAGATCTCTTTTCTTTTGTATCTTGGTGATGTATCCTTCTTTCTAGTCTATCGGCACTTGTTCTTCCTCCAAATCTTTTCGAAGAAAATGTGGGGCATCTTTGAAGTTACTTCTATGTCTGAATTGAGTGCTTCATGTTGTAAGTTGTCTAGTTCTTATGCTTAGATACTCTTGGTTTTTCTGATAACCATGCTGATTTGTTTGATTGTCGATGGAACAGTATCGATAGGAATGTGGTGATCTCATGCGATGTCAGTTTTTCGCTTTGATTCAGGTCTTGTATGGAACTTTCGAATTTTTCATTGGTCATAATCTTCAATTCTTAATTTCCAAAGGCACAATTGTTAAAATACCAAACTGAAACAGTGTGAACTTAAAGATGTACGAGGTAAAAATTATGAAGGAGCAATTTCAAACTAAAAGTAAAGTAAACATAACAAAATTACAGTGAAAATAATACTTCTTTTACTATACCATCAACAGTACAGCTTATTGGAAATGCGACAATCATGAATTCGAACGAAAGAGTGAAAACAAGTCCTCCAATGTTAGGGAAAATATCGCAGAAGCAATCATGTTTGCACACAAAGAAATTAAAACTCTCATTAGTATTGCTGTAGACGCATTGGACCCAGCAATCTGAGCAGTCCTACAACGATATCTTAAAAATACACTACAGTTTAACCTGTAACGGAAAGAGAACGATGAAGATCCCTCCACAACTTTTTAGTTGGACAGTATTGTCATTTATTTGTGTCTTCTCTCTGTCGTGTATTTTAACCTTTGTTGAGATCTCGTTTAACCGCACCTTTTATCCTCTAGTCCTCATCATCTCAGCATTTATTATGTGATTTTGATCAAATCTTACCTTTTGTTACCTAATTTTCTATTGCATGTTGCCGGACTATTGACAGTAAGGTCGTGTTTGACTAGGCTCTGGGTCACAGCGTGTTTCAGTGCATGACTGTTAACCTTTGACTGTCTGCTTGGGAAGATTGTTTGAATCCCTGCACATAGATATCTGATCACATCTTGTTGGGAATATTTTTATTGATTCTAAGTTATTGAACGCTTCTGTATTTACTGTTTTTTTGTTGTTTAGCACGTTACTTTTTGTGAGAGAAACTATTGAGTGTATAATACAGGCTGTACCTTTTTAGGTGTTTTGTAATTTTGATATCATTTGTTCTATTTCCTATATAAGATCCGTTTAAATTTAGCACAGAGTTTGTGTTTTGATATAATTTAATACGAATATCTCAGAAACGCTTCGTATGCTATACAGAAGAACGTAGTCTGATCTAGTCAAATGAATTTTGGTTTGTCAGTCATGCGTTCAAACCGAGTACTAGCAGTTTGGTCGTTACATAGCCATTATTCTCAGAGCGATTGGTAGATGATGAATCCTACTTTTTAATAGCTATGATGAATTCTCTTTCTTTAATGAATGTTTGGCATTTCTATATCGCAATAGAAATGTAGCTAGTTTCCTCTCCAGTTCATCCTTGAATAGCCAATTTGTGTCAAGTAAACCTCAATACCGAGAGGTCAGCAGAGGTACCCCACAACGCTAGAATATAAGGATATCTAGCTCTTGAATGCGATAATGAACACTATACTGTATCTGTCTACAATAAAGTCATGAAACAAACCAAGGGATGAATTTAAACGCTTTTGAATATGAACATTATTTTTTGGAATGGTGGATAAAGATAAATGATCGTTGTAAACACCCTAATTAATGGGATCTAAACTAAATTGTTTAGTACTACTTGAAGCAATATGAACAGTAGCTTCGTTTGCTGACTGAATCTGTCCTACTTTCATATTTAAAACATTTAGCAATAAGAAATGGAGATGAATTACGAAAACAAAATTTGCCAGAGGATAAAGATTTACCAAACTTGCCCTCATTTTTGTGGTTTGCTTTGCGATTCCTTGTTGATCATCATTAAACAAACGCGAGCTTGATCGACCCTGAGATTGTATTTCATCATGGAGACTAAGTAAAGTGTAAGAACGTTTCGCCGGCTGGATATCAAGTTCATTTATTGCTTCGTAATTGATAAGTGTATTTCTGGCATCTTGTAGAGAATAGTTAGGCATTTTAACAGTTATCTTTTCATATCTGGTATGTCAATTCTTGAAATCAGTCGATCTCGCAGCTGCACATAAAGTTGATCACCAAAATTACATTTGGCAGCTTGTTCTGCAATTCAAGGATGAATTCACTAATCTTTTGGTTATTCTGACAAATCATCTCATGAAATTCTGCTCTCTCACGACATTAAAAACTAGTGTACTTCACGTGATTTAATAATAGGTTCTTAACAGTTGCATGAGGATGTGAAATAGGCTTTTCTGGAAATGCCAAAGTTTTCATTAAACTGTAGGATTCTTTTCAATGAATGCATGGAAATGTGCCACAAGTTTACTATCTTTCACACCTTTCCTGGCGATGCTCCTGATTTCGAACGTTTCCATATACTTGTTAAACACATCAGAATTTTAATTCCTGCTCAACTGTTCCATATAAGGTCTAATCCCAATGTGATGCTTGGAAGCATTTTAATTACTATATAAACCAGTGGATCTCGAGATAGTGTAACTTACAGTAAATAGGTCTATGTGGATGCAAAGGAATGAATTGTGTTAGAATACGAAATCAGATGAACGTCAAGTATCATTAATTCGTGCAAACACCTCATTCTGTCTCAAAGGTTAGTCAGTCTAGATCATATACTTGTCAACGCACCGACTATCTACCAAACATAACTCTGAACTTCATTCCTGGCTTCTTGTTCGACTGAGACTAGTTATAAAGCTGTTATCAACAAAGGAATTTTTAAGCCCCGGATAATTTTGACATCTTCTGATGCATAGCTGGGATCATTTACCCTAGGATACTTCGATAAATCGAGAACGAACTGGATGAATAATATAGTTATTTATTTTGGTGATTTCCTCAGCTTTACAAATCTTATGCAGTTATCAAAGATCTGACGCCTTCATCAAGGTATAATATAAAACAGTTGACGCAATCCTGAGGTCTTGTCAATTTAATTCAAGAATAAAAAACTGAGATTGCCTATTGAAATTTTTCGGATTTACTTTAGAATGTTAGATTTTGAAGGTTATTTTTTACCCGCGTATTTTCAATAACATAGAAACGTGTAAACATTATGAGTTTAAGTCTTAAAGGTTCCCAAATAAGTCCATGCAAGTCAGCAGTTAGCAGTAGTCGTTCGACCACAAGAATATATAATGTAATTTGTACAATGTTTTGCGTTTAACTTAACCAGGCTTTGGTTTTAAATAATTATGCTCTAAAATTCATAACATGTCAGAAGATCTTTCGTTTGCAGCTTTTCTCAAAATATGTTTTTTCATATAATAACAAGCAAAAAGTTAGAGTTAAACGTCTCAGGGCATCCGGATAAACTTTACAGATACAGTTGAATATGCCACATTAATTTTGCATACCATATTGTGAATGTATTGAATTCTATTTGATTCTTGAACAATATGTTCGAAATAAAGTGTCTTCTTGAAGTTTAAACAATGTGTTAAGAAGTTGGTTAACGCCTCAATAATTAACTATTTTTATCCGACTATTTTGTTCTCGAATTTAGGATGTTTAAATTAAGGCTTTAATGTAAGATTTCAGTCTAGACTGTCAATTTAAGATTTGCCTTTAGTCGCTTTTTTCTAGATGAATGAACGCACAGCGTTGTTATCATCGTAATTGCGGGAGTTTGTGCTGATAATAAAATTTGCTGAGTGAGCTATTTTACAGCAACACGTTTTTCGTGAAGAAAAGAATAATCATATTTATCATTTGAGCCTTGCCTTTTGTCGTTTCCTTAATCGACCACAGCAACTTGTCTAAATAACTTTGGTGTATGATAGCTGACACGATAAATTTTGATTCCACTTTCTAGGTAGACTAATGATGAAGGCATACTTTACGTTTGATTTTTAAACTTTGCAGTATGGAGTAGTTCAGGTGTTCATAAACGAAAATATTTCGGCTAAGTTTCTTTACTGGTTAGCCTAATGAATTTACCATGTGCAACAATATCATGCAATCAGCCACAAGTTTTTTATAATCTGTTTTATGCTATGAAGCACAAGCTAGTTGTTTCCAAACTCATTTCATCTATCGATTTTATCAAGGTCTTCGAAAAAATCGTTGCATTCCAGAAATGGTTGTAAAGCATTAAAATTTGTGAATTAGCAAGCATAACAGATATATATTTTAATAAGCCACTGTTTACGATTCGTAACTAAAATCTTCAAGTATCAGTTTGATAAATTGAATAAATGACTACATCAGAACAATTCTAGGTATGTTTCAATGGCAAAAGCAAAGGGTTGTAAGTACATAATAAAAGTCATAAAAACTCATAACAATTAGCACTATAATTTGCTGTACATAAAACATGTGAGTCAAACAGGAATTCGTCTCCCACTATAATTTTCGTACTGACTTCTTCATATGAGAAGTTCGTATCATTTCGAGTTGCTACGTAAATGTAAAGTCGTAAGAATTGCTGCTACAAACAACTCATAAAATAAGCATAATTTATACTCGCTCTTCAACACGTTTTAATTACGACTCTCATTTACTTTGAAACTCTGTTGTGTTATTGACCTTTGATTACTTTCATTAAACCTGACTTCAATAAGTGGTAGAAGTTCTCCATTTTTATTTTTACGTATGACTTTAGTAATATCATCAAGGAAGCACAGAGTAGTCTATGTACATGTTCACATCTCAATTTTTCTTTAACAATAGCTGAATACTTGACAATATTTTATCACACTTCAAAACGTCTATTCTTCTAATAAATTTACTCAAATCATCCAACATCTTAGCTACCTCATAATTATCTGCATATACTCCTGTATTTTCAGTATCTGTTGTTTACTTGTTTGATGACTGAAAATTGCCTGCACTTTTTTAAACATTCTTAACCGAAATTTATCGGTCATGATTCACAGTGTCTATTTTTATCTGAAGTCAGCTACGATGATGTTATTTGGGATAAAAATAAATATCACATTTTTGAACCAATGACCTAACAGAATGGAACAAAATACAAAGTTTTCTGTTTTTAGCTGTACTGTTTTACAAAATTATTGTTAAGCACTGTAAGTTAACATGTTTTTAATAATACCATTGAGATGGGATAACCTTTGAACTTTTGTTTATTTTCCCACTTAATCGTCACTGTTTATTTTGTAGCAAATCTTAGATCCTAATTATTATATTTTTTCACGTCAAAAGATGTGACAACTTAGGTTGCTTAGCCTATAAACCATGCCACTTTTATCTCATAAATATATCGCATATTTAAAACGTAATGCTAGATTTTTAAAGAGGGTGATGTAAAACGTGCATTCAAATCCATGAAAAAACATGAGTTTTCACCTCTGAGCAGCAGGTTTGTAACCAATATCACCTTAGTTCCTGTTCAAGTGAACTATATGTTTCAACGAACTAAAAGTACATGAAGTGTTAGAAGTCCGAATGAAGTATGACGTAGAATGTTATACATAAAACTATAACTGGTGACTGTCCTATGCACATAAACATCTATATTTGAATATTATTTCATTAAATAATAAGTTTAAAATTTTTACTTTAGGACAACTCTCGAACAAGAAATGTGAGAGAGATTATTAGAAGCAATAAAAATCCTTTTCGAGGCCCAGAAGTTTCTTCTAGTACTTCAGAACCATTGGTTGAACAGAAGTTGGAATCCCCTGACAATTTAATTACTAACGACGATGAAAACCCGCTCATCGATCTCAATAACACAATTCACACCGATTCATTAACATTTAGGAGAGACAAATGTAGTTCGTGGTCGAGTAACTCAAATGATAAAAGTGTTTCAAGATGGCTTGAAACACATTTTCATGACCAAAACGATAGTGATTTTATATGGGACGGTCAACATGACGTAAGTGGAAATCTATCTATCTGAACTAAAACTATTTTCAGTGTATGGTTGTATAGACTGTTGAGTTTTTACTGGGGTCATGAACCGATCGGTGTTGGACCATCATTGAAAAACCAGAAGCAATAGAAGGCTGTTTTGTCAACGCAGTTTAATTTCATTTTGCATTTGATTGCTTATACAAAGACGTTATAATAACTGAGGCCTTCTGCTTGATCTAAGCAAATTACTGCCTCACTCAAAGAGCCTAATTTATCGTAAAATAATGTTGGGTTAGATTTATCAACGATTTTGGATTTTGGTTCCTATTTCACAATATTTTAGTTGTCAGTGAAAGTTTGATTGAACTATGGCCACTCATAAATGCCAAAGAGGTGATATTTTAAAATAAAAACGTGCATAGATTTTAGGCTTCTTGTACGTTTTGATAAGTATAATTTCTTGAGACGTTGACAAAGTCACTACACTACTCTGTGCACACAACTGAATGTTGGCAAACGATAATTTTTGTGTATACTGTGAACCACTTGGTCACACACATCCAACAAACTTGGTAAATTTTCCAAAAAACTGATATAAAAAATATTGCTCTTGGGAGGTAATTTTATGAAAGGCATCGTTTTATGAGCTTTCAAAAATCTGTATCTTCATGAAAAGTCTTATCTGATTTCTAGTTATAACTCTAGTAAGGCCACAGCCTTTAAATTTTTTTGTAAGCAGTAAGTTTTGACATTTTTGGTGATGACATGTCAAACTGTAAATGGAAATTATTAAAACGGACCTGATACTTTACTTTGCCGTTGATTAATAAGCGTTCTGGCCCTGTTATACTGCAAATTAAAAATCTCTACAATATATATTCGTTCGTAACCTCAATGTGAATCTAATTTATAAGGAAAGAACTTAATAGTTCTATTCAAAAACGGAGAAATAAGTGCTTTGAGTAAAGGTTGAAAAAATATGTAAATAGCTTAATTTCTTCCCAGAAGAACAAGTGAAAGACCAAAACTCATTTATACTGTATAAAACATTTTTAAGTACAACATGACAACCTTACAGTTTTCACAAAACAAAGAGCAACCGAATTAAAGTGGTAGAAATGGTAATTAACCTAACTGTTACACCATATTAACGTGTTATGTCCTTATGATTTCATAGTGTTAATCTTATATTTATCCATACAGTTATGTTTTTCGGTAGCAAAACCTTTTGAACACAGCTTGATTGCTGTTAAATAGTAAGATATTTGTTTCCTTGATTTCAGAAGTGTTGAATACTAAAAGATAAAGTATTTCTTGTCAAAGTCCGTCGTGATTCAAAGGCTTTTTCTCACTATATTAATTGACATGATTAATAGTCACTTATTTCATTATTCCCGATGTTTTTTGAAGACAAAAAGTTCGTATTATCTCTTGCAAAGTACTTTTAATAAAAACTTTAATCGGACAATCATATTCCTTAAATTTACGAGGTGGAGAAATTAGATTTGTATCTTTCTTCAAATGTCTAGAATTCTGTATTTCTATAAACCAATCAATATCTTGACTGTTATAAATCCGGGAAACTTCATTGCTCATGCTGCAAGATTTTATATCTCTCTCAAGGCTTTTCGGGACATTAAGTGTTGATGTCACTTTTGAGAGACTCTAGATTATGGTGATTTATCAAATAGAATATTTAATCAAATCTTAATTTTAAATTAAGAAGCCAAGTAAATTTTTCCGTTTATAATCCGTGAACACTTTAGAATATAAGAATTTCAGTCGTTAAAATAATAATTATTTATTTAATTAAATTTCTTAATTCGGGTCGTCTAGAAATCCATTTTTCAAATAATTTGTTTACTATACGCTCAGTAAACGTGTATGAATTCTTTAAAAAAATAAGCAATATAGATATAGGTATTTGTGTTTTTAACTATTTGTAAACATGAAGGAATATAGAATTTGTGAATGCTCATGTTTATCATGAATTTCACGATTTTATTCAAAATAAAAGTTGAAACATGATAAAAAGTATCAGGGTAGTCTTGACTGTTTTTCCATAAGATAAATATATTTCTTACTGTTAATCTGTCAAGGTCTCAAAAACCGAATACGTGTGTGATAAAATGATGTTAAAGTGACTCTTGTTTGTAAGATTTTTCATTTTTCCTAGTTAAATGTTGTAGCTAATACTAATATTTAACAAATAATGCTTCAAATAACATCTAGCAATGGTGCCATTTCACAACGGAGGAGGGATTAGATAAGGTCGATTCTAGAAATGTCCTACCTCACCTTACCCCACGGATTTCCGTCTCCGGCAGTGAGGCTATTAAAAGTGTGGAGCTAACTCGCCACTAATTCAGCTTCTTTCTCAAATCCCTCAAGAATAAATGTCCTCCCACGATTTGTGCAATCGGGAAGTGACGACCACACTCATGCTTCTATCAGCATCCAAGATCATCTTGTTGACGATTGAATCGCTCTCTCACCTCTTAATAGTTCTTCTATCTCCGTGACTAACCCCTTTGATTGATCTGTATCACCACGCGCCACCAGTGTTAATGATTTGAGTTAACGAAATATTATTTCCAGTTTTTTGAAACCACGCTCGAAACTGCATGTTGGAGCTTTTAATGTTCGAACCTTGTGTCAGACAGGAACACAGACTTGTTTAAATAGAACTCAAGAACCTCGCGTCATCGATATGTGCTGCGTTTCCAAAATGCGGATACAGGATCCACGTACAGTGTTGTAACGGTAGGATTGCTCGTCTACACGGATGGGACGTTAATTTGCCTTAGACGAATATCTACACTAGATTCCCTCTCAGCGTCTGTTTTATAGGACTTTAACACAACTCAGACCAAGAACACGCGATAAGCTTGACTAGAACGCGAATATATTTCCATGCCAAAAACCGACAGCAATCCTTCATCAATCACTGTAATAATAAGGGTAATAGAATATATAACTCATATAGTACCTGTCAGACTATCTACTAGTCTGACTAAGCAAACAACCAGTCATTACCATCCTCGCCCACACATCATATGGTCATTCATTTGACCTCACCTTGCCAATATAAAGGACTGGCATGACTTACTCTTCGAGTATCTGGAGACCCCAATGCTACTTCCCATGGCTTCGTAGGTGTAGATATGGCATTAAGTTCAAAAGCGGAACACGTTAAATGTAGGCCGATAAAAAACCTACGTAATGATCGTTAGCAGTGGTGAGTAGCGAATGCAGAAGAGATGGAAAAGTCAGCAGTGATAGGTAAAAGTAGACAACTGTTCAGAATTATGAAGGAAACGAGTATTTAGATGTGGTTGTTGGTGAAACTGTCTTGGAAAATATGGGACTATTATTCACTCTCAATCCAGGAGCTTGAACTGATGGTCGGAACTCTTTACGGAATAGTTTAACTGGCCTTCAACCACATCTCAGTTACTTCAGGATCGACTTGCGTCATTGTCTGAATGAGTGATAGAGACTGAAGTAGTTGAACACGTAAACCGCTTCACTTATCTTGGGAGTTTCATGAGTACTGATGGTCTGGTGTCTGACAAAATCTCGACATGGAGTAAGAAGGCTCGATTGGTTTTCTCCGACTTGCATCACATGTGGCGTAGGTGAGAGATCCGTCTTTCAAAAAGAGGGGAAGTTTACTGCGCAGCAGTTTGCTCTGTTCTACTTAATGGATGTGAAACATGGCCATTAATATTAGAGGATATTCGTTGGTTACTGGTGTTCAATCGTAGGTGCCTACGAGGCATTGGCGGAGTATTTTGGGACCACGGAGTAAGCAATGCCTGTGTTAGGAATACAGTACTAGTTAAAGATGAGAAATCGATTGATGAGGCAGTAAATCTTTATCAACTGAGGTGGTTGGGATGTGTCACGTATGCCCAACCACCTCTTACCTCGACAGGCGATATTTTCGATTGTAGGAGCATGCTGGAAGAAAGCTAGGGGGCACCAAACCAAAATCTGGTGTAACCACTGATACTGTTACTACCTCTACTATTCTGGGATTCGTCCTGACAGTCATAACTCCGTGTGCTAATGGGGTATGGCAACTTGAACCCGTGTAAATACGTACAAGTTCCACCTAGTGACTTGCTGATTATGTTTTACAATATGGTAGGAGACATCTATTTAACAGTAATCTGTTCCCAATATATATGGTACAGTTGAAGCATTGTGTATAATTGAATTATTTTGATTGTGTAATAGTGAAGATTATCACATCATTCAAAACTTACAGCTTATTATCATTTACATTTTTATTTCATAAACTAATAATTGCCACATTAATACATTTGTGACTAAATATCTGTAAGTATTCCCAATTCGTATGGTTTTGAAATGACATTCATCATGATACGTTGACCCGTTCTTGCTTGTTAAAAATAATGATAATTATATTCACCTTATCACATACCATAAGTTTGGTCACAGTTAAGAATTCTTAGCTTATTGCGTGCAGTACTGCAACATAGTCTTCGCCTGTATTTGTTTAACTCGCAAATATTCGAGTAAATATGCAAAAGACATTTTCAACGATTGTCATCCTTCGATCGTATTTATCCACGAACTTTATGATCAATTTAGGTCTTATGGAATTTTTTCATCGCATTCTAGATTTGGCAGATGAGTTCCAGTGTATTCGGGCCTCGTCCCTACAAAGTACAGGCAGTTAAAAAGTACCAACCACCGTGATGGTTTCGCCTGAATTCCACTGCATTTAGCTTCATGATAGGTTGTAAGCTTTTTACAGGAGCGATTAGTTCCATTGGGTAGTTAAAATACATGCTGGAATAAAGCTAGGGGCCACCAAACCTAAACGTGGCGTAATCTTTCCTATAATATTACTACTGTGGTGTGTGCTACCGATGTCGACAAATATAAGTAATATGTATCATCAATTGAAAATGAAATGCCTAGCGGCATAAGGTTAAGAATTTCAAAAAGAGAAGAAGATGAGAACATAGAATGATTGGTGTGGAAACGAAGTAACAACCATGTCTGGGATAATTGATTGACATTTTGTAAATGAAGTATTTACTGTGTGGTTCACAGATTTGATTAAGAAATTCTGTAGTTGTCCGTCTAAATGCATTTGGTTGTCCTCACTGTTGTTGTCGTTCACTCCACTACCTTTACTATCCTGCGATTTGCCCTGACAGTTATAACTCCGTGTGCTAATGGAGTGGGGCAGTTTGAACATGTGTGAATAAGTACGGCTTCGACGTTGTGACCGACCGACTCAACGGAAAATTTACATGTACTCTTTATGCTGAGTATTATAAAAGATTTTTTATGTCATGATATTCTCGAGTACTTAATAACCTTCTTTGTTTGATTATCAATTACTTTGTTAGAATGACATATTGACACCATGCTCAGACAAAAAAGGTGAGGATTTCAAATGTGGACAAAATTTGGACACGATAGGGGATAGTTTAGAATTGAATATAAATCCAAGATTAGGAAATATCTGTATGGATTTGAACGAAGTTTCAGGTGATGACGGTGATTTACAGTACACAGATATCAATGAGAAAACAGATACTCCACCTCCATGTTTAGTCAGACCTTCATCTAATTCAATCAACACTGCACGCCAGATAAGTGGTTTCAATGATGAATGTAAGTTTAGACAGATGATCTTTTTCGAAAATGAATTTATTAATATTTTGTCGTGTGATTATATATTTTATTGACTTTTAGAGACTTTTGTTTAATCCCTTAATTATTTAAGGATTTTCTCTTTAGTTGAAGTTTAGTTTAAAATTAGGTTGTTAATTCACGTATTTTGTCTCTAGTTGCTCAAAATGAAAGCCTTTTCGTTTAGTTTTCAAATTTATTTAATAGATTTCTGCGTTTATCTCCCGTGTTATTTTACGCAGTAGTTCGAACTTGGTATTTCAAAAAAATTTAAGTTTTCAGAATAACAATGTAATTTTGTTTAGTATTTTGTATTGCAATTAATGAACAGCTGAAAATTTTATCTAAAATTATCCTGCAATACTAAATGCTTCAAAAGAAAAAAAAGCTTATACCAACATAGAAAGCTGAAGAATTTGTACTTTTATGCCAGTGAATAATTACAAAATAGCCTGTGATAACAAGGAAAGTTCAGTGTTAACTCTGGGATGTCGTTTGTAGGTTGAGTTGTTTAGTATATTCGTTATCGATCTGAATTACATACTTCGATCCTTTTGTAGTACAGTGTAGTGAACAAGAACACCAGCATTACAGGACTTGTTAATAAAATCTAACAATCATAAAGTAAATGCTTAATTTGCAAAATGTCCATCGATTGTCTCAAAATCACTCAGACTTCATTGCTCTAGCATTTTCATACAAATTACAACCTGTTTCTGTTCTTTACTATTCGATCCTCTTGTTTCTCTGCTGCCAGACCTTCTGTTCACGACTAACATCATATACTACTTATGTCAATATAAGTAGCACACATCACATTAGTTTCTGCTAAAATAATTGGAAGATGTGAAGTTGATCTTTCGAACTCAGTAGTAACTAAAAAAACGTTTACATTCAGAAAGCTTATTACTATAAAACTGATCTGTTGAAGGGATTAATGGTCACCGGTATACTTTTGAATGATATCTTAATCGTCTCTAGTAAAATTTGATGAAATTTATGAAGGAAATAAAAATTTATTGTCACTGGCACATTTGTTTTCGACAATCTAATGATAGACAGCTAGATCCTGGTTTAAAACTTTCTCATTATTCGACCATTAGCCTTATATAGAAAATATTTAGTTGTTTCAGATAGGACTTTGTGTTTCACCTACATTTATTTTCTAGTAAAACTGATAACCTCAACTTCGTATGATGACAATCGACGTAATTCCGCAGCGACTGTTATACAAAAGTTTTGGAGACTTCATAGGAGAAGATATTTAGCAGCGGAAGCCGTAATGTATCGTCTGCTTGACAATCAAAAACGCAGATTAAGTAAACAGAACATGAATAATGGACGACCCATTCATTCAGTTCTACAAAGTCGTCAAAATGAGTTAAAACAGAAAAGGAAACAACAACACCAAAATGCTATTAAAGTGGGTTTTCTTTAGTTAAAAGCAATGTTTTGATTGTTAAAATGTTGATTTTATCATTTACGTACAGGGACATATTTGCTTTTATCTGTTAATAACTGCTGGTTTAGCAATATCAAAATATTCATTTGACCAAACCTGAAATGAAATTAGATTCGAGTTTCTTCTACACTCGAATATGTCAATTGTAATTTATCATAGGTCTACAGGAAACAGTCACACACAAGTTCAATAAATAAGTAACTAAGACTTCTGAATTTAAAAATGGAAGACGTTTCACAATAAGTGGTGTTCTTTTCGAAACTGTGTGATCGGTCAGATAATTATGATAATAAAATATTTATGACCAATTTTACAATATAGGTAATACGTGCGTGAAATCAATGTGACACCACTCAGTTCGTTTTGAAAAACAGAAACTTTATTAAAAGTAAATACAAGTACCATTTTAGAGTAATCATCAAAATAATTCATTTACGTTCTATGGATTTGTTAAGATTCATTAGTGTTTTACACTGTATCATTTTGCGTCATTCGATTTTGTAGTCTCAAAACAATTCTCGGTGGATAAAATTTTAAACGTCATATCTTCCTTATAAACCATATTTTAATAGAAGTTTTAAGAACATAAATTTTTATTTCAATGCTTTGTCAGTGGTAGCATGTTAAATATATATGGATTCAACCAAAATGAAACGAACAACGAACATATAGTATGAACTAAATAATTGCCTACTTATTTGACTTTTTATATTTTACAGTTTATATGCTCGTCATTTTCCCCAATGACTATTTACTTTAGGCTTTATCAAATGTCTTATTCAGAAAGAGCAGTTAATTATTCATAAATTACTTCAAGCGGTTTTATCCATGTTTACTAGGTCTAAATCTTACTTAACAAATCTTTGTCATATTGCAACACTCACCACTTACAGAACAAACTTTTGAATATTCGCGAAAACAAATACAAATAGCACAATGTTAACGAATAATAAGTTTACTGGATTGCATTAAAAGAATGGTTTAATTGTCCAAAATAACTAAAAAAATTACATATTTTTATCGTCTTAAGTAATCGCAGTTGATAATCAATTAAATCTAATGAAACGGTTGGAAAACGTTTAAATAATAGAAAACATTTTAGCTAGTTATTTGAATTGTGAATGATGCTTATTGAGTTCGAATCCTGCATGCAGGATCGTGGATGAGCACTTCTGAGGAGTCCTAAACTTGGACGAAACGGCCTTACAGCGCTCACAAGCTTTCAGTGATGGTCTAACATTATCGGTTTATAATCTTCGTAAAAGCTCAACAATCTCCACAACCCTACATTGATAATGTTTTTGTTACTTTCCAGTCTTTGATTAATAATTGTTCTTTAATTTAGAGTTTTAAGGTGCTAGAACAAAACAAGTTATGGTATTGAACTATTCGTTTATATGATCGATGATTGGTAATTTTCCTTTTAAACCACACTTTGGTAAACTCATTCATTATTAATCTTAAGATTTTGCAGGAGAATCGATCCTCTAAACGTTCGCAAAGTCAAGAAACTTTAGAGGATAAGGCAGAAGTAAATGATGTGTCTGAATCAATTCTTGTATCTGGTAACCGAAAGGACCGTACAAATGAAGACAAATCAAACATTTTGAATAAGCCTATATTTACTAGCAATGCTAATCAATGTAAAAATTACAGTTCTGATATTCATATTACCACAGTGAGTCAATAATTAATGTAAACTCCGTGATTTACTTAAACTTTCATTTTTTCATCTGAGAGAATTTAAAAATTCTTGGTTTACATCATAATTTGATGACACTTGTGACTACTATAATTTGGTAGTTATCCTCATATTATACATAACTCCTACCATTGATTTTTGTCCGATCCTTTTTTATTTGTTAGGTCTGTATCATTTAGGAAGCACAGATAATATTCTTTATTTGAACATAATGTCTTATTTAGCAGAATATCAGGTCATTAATTAATATGTTAGTGATTTAAATACAGGCTCAAATCAATTTCTGAACGTAGGTAGTATTACGTAGTGTGATATCAAACGGAGTTTCAAGCATATGAACTGCTATTTAACTGGTTTCTACACCTATACCAAATTAATATTACTTGAGAGAAGACAGATTGATCAATTTGTAATACCGAATTCTTGCGATTGTATGGTGTATAATATTTATACTTTATAGAATAACTTAAAATCCCACTCACATTCACTTCAGTCTAGTCATTTTTAGTTCAGTAAATGACGAATATTCGGTAAAGTTTAAGATTTTCATTATCAATGAACACGGTTGTACAGCCATCTCAGAATACAGTCCTAAACTGTGTCAGAACAACTAAGATGCTAGGATAACAATCAGTCAACTGACTTTTCGAAACAAGACTGATTAAATACGAAACGTCAGAAAATTTAATATTTCTACTCTTAAGGATATTACAAATATATTAATTTATCTATAACAATCTACTCAAGGCTCAATTTATTCGAAATTATTAAGTCAAACCTTGGTAATGATACCTAAAAAGACTGATTAGAGTAACCAGATAGTGGAAAAACTGAATGCCAGATGGTATACGTTTTCGAAACCAAACACGGGCTTCCCATTATTAATGCCTGAAGATACTATTCTTATTTCCTAATTTATCTGTAACGTATTTCGTGATCATGGATTAAAAGTGACTGCTAATTTAGCTACTTAGTTCATGTTCTTTTTTCAGTTTAGTCGTATTTTGTCTTCATATACATTCGCTGACCAAAGTTAGGGAGTATTTATCTGATTTATCATTATTCCGATACTTCTGTTCCTTTTCAGATCCGTATCACCTTCAGTTGAATCAAAGCTACAATATTCAGCTTTAGGTTATCAGATAGAAATTATGGTTTATAGTTACATTAATCTAATATTCACCGATTGATCGCTAATTCGTAGTCAGTTTTATGTTTGTTTAGTCCATAATGCTGAGAGAGTTTACTGATTAAATTGGGATGTGTTCACTTGTCCAGGCGGCTTGACACCGTGTGCACATTTTTGATGTTAGGGTGTTGAAGATAGTCCAGGGGAACCATGTGCCGAGATATATAACTATTTCGAGCTTATCACGAAGGGGTACTAACAATCTTGAGGGAATTGATGCCCCACGGACCTTTACGTTTCTTAGACTGTGGAGTTCTGTTTTCGAGTGACCTATGTAGGGCTCAAACACCGACATTGATTCATCGCTGAGCATTGGTTGATTTCACGTCTGCCTAGTCCTTAGCGCTTATTAGGTTGAGGGTCCGGATACCATGAGTATCAGGCCCCTAAAAAGTGTTAGTTATCACAAACCTAGGTCCAAAGGATTACCACTGACTGTCTCAAATCCCTAATATCAGAATTATACATGGTTTTTAAAAATTTCATGAAGACTGTTTATCCTGCAAAAATCAGAAACTAGTCTATCATGAAGTTTGTATTGTTTATTGCTGGTGTTAAACGGCTATGTAATTACTGGATGCTGCACAAATCAGCATGATTGCTTGAAATACCATTGCTTCTCACTTATTAGCACAGGTCTGAGTATACTTAACAATTTTTTTGTTAAAACACCATCGTTTATGAAAATTCTAGCTTTCATCGTGGTAGTGAAAATTTGTTTTCAGGTTTATTCAAATAAAAACAGTACAGTATACAGCTTATTTATCGCGATTACTCTAAGCATATCTACCTATGATAATTGACCTGCTCTTTGTGTGCATGAGGCGTTGCTTACTAATATTATTACTTTGTTCATTTTATGTTAGACTACAGAACAAAATGTACACAATGAAATTGAACAAGTCTGTAGGGAGAACAGCAGTCTCTGTCAGACTGAGTTTTGCGATCTACGGAAAGATGGAAATAACAGGGCACTTGGTCAACAAAAAAATGTATCTGGGGAAAAGAATATGTCAGCTGTAGATAACATACTTCAGGAATTAAAACAGCTAGAAAGTGTGGAATTCTTAAATTATTGCCCAACGAATGATCAATGTATTGATTTCTCAAAACAGGTTTCCTTGCAGAAGTGTTCCATTCCAACTACATGGTCTGAAATGGGTGGGTTAATCCAGTTATTAACTATTTCGGATTTTGATGTTTGTGTATGCACTGGATGGTCTGAAAACTTTTCTTTAGATAACAAAAAAAGGTTCATTATTGAGTAGCGATTCTGTGGATAAATTCGAGGACTGATTAATCTGATTATTTTTGTATACCTTTCAGTTGATTCTCATTCCTCACAAATAGGTGTGAGTTAACCATTTCGTTGAGCATAAATATTTTTGCGAAGGGTATTCATGTACAAAAGTATGTATATTCTGCATCGCCTAAGGTAGTGTGTCGGGTTCTTTTTAGAAATATATTTAATTTATTGAATTCTCAGTGACGTTTAGGATTGCTAGAGATGATCACGATTTTCTAACCACTTTTTCACTTGTTACTCTCTATTTACGCTAGAATACTGATTTCTTAGAGGGAGTAAATGAATCAATAATCACTTCTATTTTCAGCTCTTATCATCCATCGTTTTCTGAAAGTCTTTAAAAATAACGTTACGTTCGTGAAAACACATAGTCATGAGGGATTTATTTAGACTTCTCCACGATGTGCAAATTAAAAACAATCTTAACTTATGATTATTATGACTACCGTAACCTTTATCGCATTTCAATTACTGGATAATCGGTGTGAAGTCAGGTTCTGTTGTATTGTGCTACAGTTGTTTACTGTGTTATCATGTTTTTACAGTACTGAAATTTGATAGGTTGCCACTGTACTTGAACTTTTCAAATGAAGTCAGATTTACATTTTTGAAATATATTTTTGATCTACTGAGTAACGAAGATCGATCTGAATATTTGAACAGTATCTAGATTCTGTTGTGATTCAGCATCCATATTTTATCATATTTCAGGTAATAATAATAATAATAATAATAATAATAATAATAATAATAATAAAAGACTTTCAACTGGTTAGAGAAAACGATGGTATCATTTTTAGTCCTACTATATTAACGAACTGATAACTGAGTAAATAGTTTTATCTTAAAGATGCTTTTCTTACTTACTTACCTACTTAATTACACCTGTTACTCCACGAGAAGGAGCATAGGCCGCTCACCAGCATTCTCCATCCAACCCTTTATTGGGCAATCCTTTCCAGCTCTTTCCATTTGTTATTCACCCTTTCCATATTTGCTTCTATTTCCCGACATAATGTGTTCTTTTGCCTTCCACTTCTCCGTCTCCCTTCACGATTCCAAGTTAGGGCTTGCCTCATGATGCAGTTTGTTGATTTGCGTAGTGTATGTCCTATCCATTTCCATCGTCTTTTACTAATTTCCTCTTCTGATTGAAACAGGTTTGTTCTCTCCCACAGTAGACTGTTGTTGATGGTATCCGGTAAACGGACACTGATTACAACTGTTTACAAATACTTGTATCTTTTTGATGATGGTTGTAGTAGTTCTTCACGTCTCAGCTTCATACACTAGGACTGCCTAGACGTTCTTATTGAAGATTCTGACTTCGATATTGGTTGAAAGTTGTTTTGAGTTCCATATGTTCTTCAATTGAAGGGATGAGGCTCTTACTTTGCGAATTCTCTCATTTACGTCTGCATTTGAACCTCCTCGTTTATCGGTGCTGCTTCCCAGATACGTAAATGTTTCCACATCTTCCAGAGATTCTCAACCAAGTGAGGTTGAGTTGGTGTTCTCTGTGTTATATTTAACGATCCTGCTTTTCCCCTTGTGTACGGTGAGGCCTACTGATGCAGGGGCTGCTGCCACACTAGTTGTCTCCATCTGCATTTGTTCTTGTGCATAGGACAGAAGAACCAGGTCATCTACGAAATCCAAATCGTCTAGTTCTACCCAACTTGTCCATTTTATTTCGTGCTTCCCACCTGATGTCGAGCTCTTCACAATCCAGTCAACTACCAGAAGAAAGAGGAAGGGAGGCAGCAAGCAGCCTTTTCTGACTCCGTTCCTCACTTGGAATGCATTTGTCAGCTGTCCTCCATGCACCACATTGCAGTGTAGTCCGTCGTATGAATTCCGGGTGATGTTGACGACCTTCTCGGGTTCACCACAATGTCGTAGGTGTTTCCATAAGGTTCTCCTATCCACACTGTCAAATGTTTTCTCATAATCAAGGAAGTTGATGTATAGTGACGAATTCCATTCAATTGATTGTTCGACGATGATCCGTAGTGACGCGATTTGGTCTGTGCACGGCCGATCCTCACAGAATCCAGTCTGTTGATCTCGAAGTTGAGTGTCTACTGAATCTTTTATCCGGTTCAGCAACACTCTGTTGGGAACCTTTCCTGGTACTGATAGTAGTGTGATTCCTCTATAGTTTTCATATTTGCTCAGATCTCGGTTCTTCGGTATCTTGATGACGTGTTCTTCTTTCCAGTCAATCGACACTTGTTCCTCTTCCCAAATCGTTTTGAATAGAGGGTAAAGCATGTTTGTAGTTACTTTGATGTCTGACTTCAGTGCTTCAGCTGGTATGTTGTCAAGTCCTGCTGCTCTCCCGCTCTTGATTTGTCTGATGGCCATTCTGATTTCTTCCGTCATTGGTGGATTGACATCTATAGAAAGATCTGTGTGTGCTGCTTCGATGTCCGGTGGGTTCATTGGAGCCGGCCTATTCAGGAATACTCTTGTAGCGTGGCGTCGAGTTGAGATTAACTGTGAACACCGCTACCCAGAAACACGTGCCAAATAGATCAGAAGGCGTAAGAAGCTCGTTCCAAATGACTCCATAAAATCCCCGAGAAGCCAAATATCAGAAGACAGTTAATGGACCAAGTCGAGGTTTATTAGCTGGCGATCTCGTGGCATCGAAAGGATACCGAGATCGTGCCAGGATACAACCTTGGTTACAGAAGGTAACCGAATTCGCGCGAAGTTACAATCCAAGTGTAAGTGAAAGAATGGAAGCACAAAATAGCTGTCATTAGCACAGTCAAACAAAAGCACATTAAAACAAACACTGGTACAGTTGGTTGTAATAATAATTGTTTTTATTAAACCAGTCGTGTTCTCGTGATAAACGTGAGTCACTACACTCTACCCATCTGTTCCGCTGTTGTTGAATTTCAGTGATTGGCCTGCCTTCTTTGTCCTTGACCGGTCTCTCTGGTTTACTATATTTTCCTGCTAGTTTCTTCGTTGTATCGTAAAGCTGCTTCATATTTCCTTCTCTTGCAGCTTTTTCCGCCGTCGTTGCTAGTTCTTCCAAGTATTTCTGCTTGTCGACTCTAATGCTCTTGTTCACTCGCTTGTTTGTTTCTATGTAGTCAGCTTGTTCTTGAACTTTCTCTGTTCTGGCTCAGCTGTTTTTAGTTGCTGTTTTCTTGTTCTTTTTTTGAATCTTGTACAGTGTTCCGATGGAGATCCATTCCTTATGATGATACTTCTTTCGGCCCAGCACCTCTTGACACGTTGAAGTTAATGCTTCTTTGATCCCTTTCCAGTTGTCCTCTATAGTAGTTTTTTCTTCTTTCAGTAGATCCTGCAAGGCGTGGAACCTATTGTTGAGAGTTATCTTGAATCGGTTGAGTTTGTCAATATCTCGATGGAAGGCTGTATTGAACCTTTTTAATGCTGTTTATCCAGTTGTCCAGTTTTTTTTAGCTTCAGTTTTAAATTGGCCACAACTAGGTGGTGATCTGAAGCTATGTCAGCTCCTCTCCTGGTTCTCACATCTTCCGTTGTCCTTCGGAATTTTTTGTTGATGCAAATATGATCTATCTGATTCTCTGTGGTGTGGTTCGATGAGATCCATATAGCTTTGTGTATACGTTTGTGTGGAAATATTGTGCCGCCTATGACCAATTTGTTGAATGCACACAGACTTGCAAATCCTTCCCCATTTTCCTTTCTCTCTCACAGTCCATGTCGTCCCATGATATCTTCATATCCGGGTGTTGTCTATTCCGACTTTGGCATTTAGATCTCCCATTCGAATGGTGAGGTCCTTTCTTGGGCATTTCTCTATGACTGACTGCAGCCGCTCGTAGAATTGATCTTTAATGTCGTCGTTACTATCATTGGTGGGTGCATAACATTGATCCCCTCCTTCTTTGTTTTGAATGATGCTTTGATGATTCTGGATCCGTGAGGTTTCCATCCTACAAGTGCATTTCATGCTACTTTGGACAGCATTAGAGCAACTCCCTGAGTGTGTGGAGCATTTTCCTCTTCGTTACCGGAGTATAGCAGCATCTCTCCCGTATTTAGCCTTTTCTGTCCAGCTTGGGTCCAGTGGGTTTCGCTGATTCCCAGTACTGCCAAGTTGTATCTCCTCATTTCCGTTGCTATTTGATTGGTCCTCCCGGTCTCCCACATTGTCCGGATGTCCCATGTACCTATGAAAATTGTTGCTCTGGTTGTTGGTTGTGGCTTCCGAAGGAACTCGGCTTTCACCATGAGGCATCATATTTCTTCGAAATGAAGACCTTTCTGGTTAGCGTTATTTTTAGCGAGTTAGTTTTGTAGCGGATGGGGACGCTAACCCCTTGCTCAATCCTCCTCCTTTACCCGGGTTTGGAACCAGCAGTATTTCTAGAAGAGCTACAGGAGGAGTTATGCTTTTATTAATCACAGTCAAGAATATAAATCGTTGACAGAACAGAACTAGTGTTTTAATTTCCATCAGTCAGTATACTCTAATTGTCTTTCACAATCCATCTAATGAAATAAATAAATTTTGAATTTAAAAGTCATACTGAGTGAAGAAAATTGTATGCCTTGCTATTCATCATGCCTCAACGCTAACTTAAAATAGTCTACAAAAATAATTATAGATAATTAAAGAATTAATTCTTGAATAAAGCTTTTGGGGATGCTAGGTCCCCCAAACTCATATTTTGTGATTTTACCATATCGATTAACTTATCGATTAAATGTTTAAATAGCAGTCAGCTGACGAACTTATCAATTAAATATTTGAATGGAAGTCGATTGATGAACTTATTGGGTAATGTTTAAAAAATTTTACCATGACAATATCAATTATAAATATTTTTATAAATACGCTTGATTAGTGTGCCTGATTGACCTGATCTGAATATCTGCTGGTTGCCTGTAGAATACACTTCTACGTCTTACCAAGACTTCTTGATCGAGTTATCTGAGTCGAGGACAACGGACCAGAATAGCCTATTGAGTCTCTGAATCCTTGATCCTTTGTTCCGTTCCGAATAAGCCGAATCAGTAGTAGCATTCAAGCTTAACGAACCTAACAAAAGCCTAGTAAAATAATTATAGAGTTTCAAGATTAAACTGTTGAATAAATTGAGAAAGGATATGAGTTCCTCTATGTAGTTTGATAAATAAAACAGTTAGATGAGATGGAGTTATAAAAAAATGGAACAGGCTGTTAGGCTATACTACACTCAATGCAGATCGATTATCGAAAGGAAATAATCAACTAAACAACCAGTCATCAACACTCATCATTTACGAAGAAAATCAGATGAAAAATTTTAGTGGAATTAGTAAATCGAAATCTTGTGCATATAGCTTTAATTGGGAAATTCGTTTGATTAAGATGACAAACATAAAGTGAAGGAAAGAAATATGAAAATATTTTTTAAGTGCAAAACTCCTACTTGTTTGTGTGAATATAGATGGCTTATACTATATGAGAAACATTAAACCATGAAGTGAATGGAATACAATATATGACTTTTAAGGTCTCACATAACTTCGGTGCCTAATACTAGATGGATATACAGTGATAGAATTTATTGTTGTCCTAGTCTATAGTTTTTCTCAATCACAGAGAATGATGTTGAGAATAAAAAGAACATTAAAAATTCACTTTGTGGCCAACTTGAAAATAATTGCTAATGTTGATTGGCGATCTTTTAAAAGCACATTTGCATCAAGATATCATTTATGTACTAATGATTTATAAAAACATTTTTCAGTGAAATTTGCTTGAATTGTATGTCAGTAGGCTTAGTTTTGTTTATTATAAACAAGATACTAATTATGGTGTTGCTTATAGAATAATCCTACTGACAAAGTATGTTTTATATCAGTTTTCTTTTCCAAAGTATTTCAAAAACTGTAAGCTATTTCTCAGCGTTTTTTAGGTTTAAATTTGATTTTGTGCGTTTAATGAATTCTTACATAATTCTTGGTTATCGTACAGAAAAAGAAAACTTTTCATTTTAATTTTTAAAGTGAACAAAATGATTACCTTGTAATATAAACTTGAGAACTAATTTATTCATCATATCATCATTAAATACATATTTTCAAAATGGGTTTTGTGGAGATTTTCTAGAAATTCCACAAGTTGAAGTCATGAGTCAATTGAAGCTAGACCACCATAGAAAACCTGGAAGCACTGGATGGCCGTTTCGTCCTAGTATGGGACTCCTCAGCAGTGCGCATCCACGATCCCGCACCCCGCAGGATTCGAACCCAGGACCTACTGGCTTCGCGCGCGAGCACTTAACCACTAGACCACTGAGCCGGCATCCAAAGGGGTTCGAATCCCGCGGGGTGCGGGATCGTGGATGCGCACTGCTGACGAGTCCCATACTAGGAAGAAACGGCCATCCAGTGCTTCCAGATTTTCTATGGTGGTCTAGCTCCAATTGACTCATGATTTCAACTTGTGAAATACATATTCCTCTTAAAATTAATTGGTGTTTTGTAGACAATATTAGTATAAAATAGCTTGATTTTTCTTCTTTTTTAGTCAAGGATATTAGTCGTGTCCTATCTGAGGCTGAACAAGATGAAGTGCATTCAGTCAACTTCAGGAAATATTGTACTGTTCAACGATCTACAGGCTTAAAAGGTGTTCGAAATCGATCTGATTCTACATTATCCAATTATTCTTCACTTGGTCAGTCAAATTGGTCTGGTTCATCTACAATAACTACAAACAGACATACGTTCCTGAGTGAAGAGAATTTGCATTCGCATACCAAGTAAAATTCTCTTGTGTTATACAACTCCCCAGTACTTGCTACAAAATATCAAATTTAATAACTGTTTTTGTAGTGTTAAGCATCTGATAATGATTTAGGTAAATTTTGTCTTATTCTATCGAAATTCGATAGCGAAAACTAAATATAATCCTTCACCATTAGAGGAATATAATTATAATTATAAAAGTCTAAAACCAAAAGTCAGATTCAAACACTTCCCATCTTTAAAAAACCTTATTATTAGACATCATCGGTTAAAATGGTCTTAACTCAGTTTATACCCTTTAATTTACTACATCCTAAGATTGTGACAAGTATTCTTCAAGGACAGTACTCAACGTTTTTTGCCTAACTTCGTAAGATTCGATAAATCGAATTTCAATGGTGGTCTAGCCTACATCGACTCATGAATTCAATTAATTAATTACTACAATTTCCACTAAGCTAAATGTTATTTTGACTATCATTCAGAACGTATGTAAAACTAGTGAAGACCAAAAATGAAATTCCTAGTTGTTCGAAACGACCATGAATAATTTTCTAGAGAAATAGGTTCACTCAATATCTGGCGGGAATTATACTTACTTAATAACAGAAAAGAATAATTAACTAAAAGATGTGATCATGCTTATAGAATCACAAAAGATTAGGAGCGTTTGGAAATTCGCTTAAACATTATGACAATCTGAATCCATTATAATATCATCATTCGATCATTGGCGTGCTTACTGGCGGTGTACCTTTTACATCTTTTATCGTCATCATAGAAAGGGTAAAGTTTTAGATTCAAAATACTTGACTCATATTTTCCATTTTAAAATGACAGATAACCTTAAGTTTTTGAAGGGTTTTAGAACATCTGCTAAAGAGTCACTGCAAAGCATAACGAATTATTCATGTTGTTGAGCATTGTAATAAAACACCTTAGAAATTTCCATAGTTTTCTATAATAAATGATTTTTTAATAACACTATGGAATTGTCATCATATTTATGTAAGTTACAAAGTTATCTCAATGGCCTATTTTCGGTAGACATATGGAACGGGTTTGTTCACGGCAAAAGGCCCAAAAAGAACTGGATCAATCTATATCTCAATGTCGAGAAAAATTGACTACTTTCATCCAGTCAAATCATAATAATGTATGTCATAATCATCCAGAACCAAAAGGCGGTGATACTGGTACTAATCAACACACAAAGTATTCTAAGAGTCGAAACTCTGCTACATCACAAAGACCATCTTCTGTAAAAAACCAAACAACCTCTAGATCTTTACAATGTAACTGCTTTAAGAGCCCTATGAATCTATCAAATGCTCATTTGCTGCATACAAATTCTGTTGGAACAAAAGCTGAAAATAAATTGTCTTACAAAAGTCATATGGGGCGTAGTACACAAAATCTTTATGATAGTGTATCACTGAAGGACGGAATGAAGGTAATTTAATGGCTATTCGTATTTTGACAGTCATATTCACAATGTATTTACTAAATATGGCCTGATCTGAGTGACATATTTCATCGGATGTGTGTGAAGAAAGTGATTTAAGAGTAAATATGGTGCTAAAACTTCACTTTACTGTTTACATGAGCTCTTTATCTAAAAATGGTAATAACTTCACTTAACTTACGCCTGTTAACCCTCGTAAAACATAGGCCACCAACCAGGATTTACCAACCAACTCTACCCTGAGCACTCCTTCCCAGTTGTTCCCAAGCGCTATTGATTCTTTTGATGTCTGTATCCGATTCCCGGCACCATGTGTTCTTAGGTTTGTCTCTTTTCCTTTCGCTTTGAGGGTTCCAAGTCAGGGCTTGCTGTGTGATGCAGTTTTGCGCTTTCTGTAGTGTGCGTCCTATCAACGTACAGCGTCTTTTCTCAATTTCCTCTTCAACTGGGAGCTGGTTTGTTCTCTGCTATAGCATGTTGTTGCTGGTTGTATACGGTCAATGGACCTAGAGTATTTTGTGCAGACAACCTTTTATAATTATCTGCACTCTTTTCATGATAGTTGTAGTAGTTGCCTGAGTATAAGCTCTTTATAACAGAAATGTTTTGATGTTTGTATTGAAGAATCTTACGTTGATGTTATCTGACGGTCGGTTTTAGTTCCATATGGTCTTCACTAACAAGAGTGCCAAGCTTGCATTGTCAACCAGTGCCTTCACATCTGCGTCAGATCCGCTTTGTTCATCAATGTTGCTGTTCAGCTAGGTAAAGGCGTCCATCTCTTCCAGAGCTTCTCCATCAAGTGTGATTTGGTTGATGCACGCTCTGTTGTCTTTCAGGATCATGATTTCACCCTTTTGAATGTTGAGATTTACTGCTGTAGAGGTTGCTAAAACACTGACTGTCTTCACCTACATTTGTTGCCGTGTGAGAGAGAAGACCTAGATCATCTGCAAAGTCCAAATCTTTTAGCCACATCCAAGCTGTCCATGTAGGTCTTCATAATCCAGTCAGTCAACCAACAAATGAGAGAAAGAGCGCAAGAATAAGCAGCCTTAACTGACACCAGTCTTTACTATGAATGGGTCTGTCAGCTGTCCTCTATGCACCAATTTGTAGTACAGCCCATCTCATGAATTCTGTATGATGTTGACGATATTCTCAACTATACCACAGTATCGAAGAAGGTTACTTAATGTTCTCCTATCCAATTTGTCGAATGCCTTCTCATTGTTAAGGAAGGTGATGTATAGTGACAAATCCCATCCTATTTACTGCTCAACAATGATCCATATTGTAGTGATGTGGTCTGTGCATGACCGGTCCTTATAGAATCCAGGCTGTTGACCTCGCAGTTGGACGTCTACTGAATCTTTTATTCAGTCCAGTAACACTCTGTTGGGAACCTTCCCTGGTACTGATAGTAGTGTGATGTCTTTATAGTTCTCACACTTGCTCAGATCTCTTTTCTTTTGTATCTTGGTGATGTATCCTTCTTTCTAGTCTATCGGCACTTGTTCTTCCTCCAAATCTTTTCGAATAAAATGTGGGGCATCTTTGAAGTTACTTCTATGTCTGAATTGAGTGCTTCATGTTGTAAGTTGTCTAGTTCTTATGCTTAGATACTCTTGGTTTTTCTGATAACCATGCTGATTTGTTTGATTGTCGATGGGACAACATCGATAGGAAGGTCTATAGGTGCTACTCTAATGTCAAGTGAGTTCAGTAGAGCTGGTCTATTCAAGAGTTCTTAAAAGTGTTCTGCTCAATTGTCCTGTTGTTGTTAATTCTCAGTGGTTGGTCTGCCTTATTTGTTCCTGAATGGTCGTTCTGGTTTGTTTTACTTTCCATCTAGTTTCTTCTTTGTATCATATAGTTGTCGCTTACAACTTAATCTGATGTCATTGCTAGGTCTTTCATGTATTTCTGCTCGTCGGCACTAATGATCCTCGCTTGTTTGCTTCTGTGTGTTCGGCGTATGCCTTGGCTTTCTCTACACTTGTTGGGCTGTTGTTTATTGCTATCTTCTTGTTCATCATTTCTTGAATCTTATTCCAGGATGTCAATGGAGATTCATTCTTTATGATATTGCTTGTTGTAGTCCAGCACCTTCTGACACTTTGAGTTTATTGTTTTTCGATCTATTTCCAGTTATTCTCTACGGTATTTTCCTCTTGTTTGAGTAGATCTTGTAAAGCCTGGTACCTGATGCTGAGAGCTACCTTAAATTTATTGAGTTCGTCAGTAACTCGAAGGAACTTATGTAATGCTATTTCTACAGTTGTTCAGTGCTTCTGTGGCTTCAGTTTCATCTTGGCAACCACCAGGTGATGATCTAAAGCGATGTCGAATCCTTCCTTTTTTCACGTTTTCAATGGATCTTCCGAATTTCTTAGTGAAGAAACATGAACAATCTTGTTCTCTGTATTGTGACCCTGTGATACCCATGTAGCTTTGTGAATGCGTTTGCCGGGGAAATACGGTCCCACCTATAATCGTTTTTTCGAAGGTATATAAATTTGCAAACCACTCACCATTCTCGTTCCTTTCTCCTAGTCAGTTCATGTCGTCCCATGACATCTCCATTCCTGTTGTTGTCCATCCATACCTTGGTATTTAGGTACTCCACCAGGATAGCCAGGTTCTTTCCTGTGCACTTCGCCATGATCGATTGCAGCCTCTTGTAAAACTGATCTCTATAGTCCTCATTGCTATCATTTGTGGGTGCATAACATTGAATAGCATTTATTGTGATACCCTACTTCTTTATTTTGGAGGACGCTTTGATGATTCCGGATCCATGAGTTTCCCATCCATAGGTGCTTTATATGCTTCTTCGGACGGCATCAGAACAACTCCCTGAGTGTGTGGAGTATTTTCTTTGTATAAGTGTGCAGCAGCACCTCTCCAGAATCTATTCTTTTCTGTCCAGCTTGCGTCCAGTGGATTTTACTCTTTCAAACGTAGCCAGGTTTTATATTTACATTTCTGCAGTTACTTGACTCGTCCTCCTGGTCTCCCACACTGTTCGGAAGTTTCATGTACATGTCTCAATTGTTGCTCTGGTTGTTAGAAGGGGCATGGGACTCGTGATTTCCTGATATTTCCAACCTTCACCATGAGGCGTCATAACTCTTCCAGCTCAACACTGTTTACCTCCTAGGGCAGAGTTAAAATGGTTTAAATGATTTTTTTCTGACTAGTGCCTCTTAGCAAGGTCCAATTCCACGGGATATGATTGCTGAACCCATGTCTAACCTTTCTTCTTTCCTCGGGCTTAAGACCGGTAGTAATCCTAGAAGAGCTACAGGTGGAGTTAAAAATGGAAATCAGGTTGAAATAAGCTATCTTGGAGTTTGGACGAGTTTTAATTTACCATGAATTCTGTGCATACAACTCAAAAATTATATGATGAAAATCCTAGACCAGACTAATTACTATATCATTTGTCACACAACTCCTATGTTTTGCTTACTGTAGGATAAATTTTGTCAAGGAACCTACCTCCATTTATCTAGTTTTTCTAATTTAAATGTATACTTTTTAGCAGATAATTCAAAGCGACGATGGACGTATTACTACTGACAATGAATGTTTGATGTTGGAACTTGAAGAGAAAAAAGGTCAAATAAAACGCTTACAGAGAATTATAGAGCATCAAAGAGAACTGTTTTTAAGGCAGTCGGAAGACACACAGCGAGATGGTGATCGAAGAATAGAATCAATTAAAGCTGATTATGAATGTACAATTAACCGAAATTATAAACTAATTGATGAACTAATTGAAGAGAAAAAAGTACTTCATACAAAATGTGAAGAATTTTTAGAAGAACTAAAGACAGTGACAAAGAAAACGAACGAAAAAATCAAAGCACTTGAAGAAAGGTTAGTTAGTAGAAGGTGATCTTTATTGTTACTTGACTAAGATGATTGCTGATATGATGTGATGAAAAGGCAAAATCAAATTTCGACTCAATAGCCTAAACTACAGGCCATACAATTGTCACTATTTGTTGTTCTTAAAAATGTCATTGGTACAGTGTAGTTGGTTTCTCGTAATCATAGAATTTTGCTTAATGATTTTGTTTTGATCGAATAAGAACGATCTCAATTTGGTTATCAAAAAACTACGAAACGGAACGGCTGCAACCTGTAAAACCAGCTCATGAACAATTAAATTTATACGCAATGATGGTTGAACCGTCATACAAAATGCAGAAAACGTATATGGAATGCAATTTGTGACAAAATAAAAAATAAAAATCTAAATGAAATTATGCGTGGCCTTAAAAACGGCCTTCTATCGGTCTCTTGGTTCCAACTCTACATTCATTTCTCTTCCAGGGTTTTCCATCTTCCCATTCCCGCATTTCTTCAACAATCACCTCATAAAAAAGTAAAAAAATGTTAGATTCTCAGTTAGTAACTGAAATATGAACAAAGCATTTTGCCTGTGATACCAAGTTTCGCTGCGTTCATGTGTTCCATTACACTAACTTAATCGCGCCACATATTAGACAATGGAATCCAAGGAATTGCTGTGGTGCGTCCCAACCACAAAACGAATGAAACACAGCATTGCAGCGAAAAATAATCCAGGTTCTTCCCTTAACAGTTTCACTTGGTGGCTGAGTAAGATGGCATATGTCACACAGTTCGTTGACATGAACATCTTCGTCTATGTTATTGTCTCTGTCATTGAATCCTTCTGAGTTTATTGAAACAACATCACCTTCTTCATAACTTAGCCCAGGTGCTGAGAATAATGTCGACACTGCTTGAGGCATTCTTCTGATTCTTATGGAAATGAGAGTCAGGGACCCCATAATAACAGTATGTCACCCTTTCATGATTTCTGATAGCGCTCCTTAACTCTTCAAGCTATTGGAACGCTCGAAACAATACATCTGGTACTTTGTAAGTTATTTACCTTTGGAGAAAAAAATGATCACTCGAGGAATATTTACGGTTTATATTACTTTTTGGAGAATAATAATCAATAATTACCATTTTAAAACTAATTATTTCATTGGACAAAACGGGATGAAATCGTGTTTAAGATGGGATAAAAAAATCTTTGGTAAAAACAGTACAAAAATAACTGTGTGATAAATAATATTCACTATATTCTTTTATTAAATTAACGTTAACTATGCTCAGCATGATACTCAGCATATTATTTGTTATAAAACTGGGTATTTTTCATATTGTGGTGTGTGCTACTGATGTCGACCAACATAAGTAGTATGTTTCATCGATCGAAAGTGAAATGCCTAGCGACACAAGGTTAAGTTCGAAAAGAGAAGAGAACGAGAACAGAGAATGATTGGTGTGGAAACGAAGGAGCACCAAGCAACGCGAATTAAAAAATTATTAAGAGGAGTAATCGGTTTAAAATTAAGACTTGCTTTTAATCTTCACAAAGGCTTGATTAGAACCTAATGGAAGTTTTGTTTAGTCCTCATTTCGTGAGTTTAACTCTGCAGTCAACTACAAAGAAATCATTTACCTGTATAGTCAGTTCGCAACACAAAGTACTTTTTCAATACCGTGTTCATTGAAATTTTCAGAACTAAGCTCTATTTAAAAAGTTTAATATCGTTTACTCAAACAGCTAAAGCCTATAGTTTACTTAATAAAATGAACACTTGTTTACTTCAAGTACACTCCGTAATAAATTCTTGTCTAAATTAAGCATTCGTTTAAATCTTGCTATTCAGATATGTTTAAACTTGTAAGTGCTTCCACCTTTTATGTCTAATAATATTGTACATAGTCCAGGTTGAAGTATTCTCTTTAAGTTGTTAAATTTCCTTATAATTGATGAAGAGTTGAGCTTTAATTTGTGATCTTTTGAAATCTTGTAATACTAAGGCTATCTATCTAACATGGAACTATTTGACCCAACTATTCTTTGAAGATGCTGCACTTTTCCTTTCGAGATCCAACAAAACACTGAGTTTGGAACTATGTGAAGTTGTTTATAGGAATTTTACATAATAGTCCTTAGTGATTCGATTTACGACCAAATAAGTAATACACGTATGAAGTAATTGCGTCCATAACAATATATTTGAGAGTATTTAGAGTTATTAAATCTAGTTACTTAACAAATGTTGTGGAAGTAATAACAGATGTTATTTAGGATAAAATTCGAATCGTAAGGAATGGAAAATCGCACCATAAACTAATGATTAATTTATTCTTACTAACGTTTCTGGAATTACGATGAATACAGCTACGTAGAGTATAAACAGGTTTAGCGCAGTATAGGATTTTTTTATACGATGGTTCTACAGTCAAAATACCTGGAAATGCACAATTATCAAAACGTATTGATCATAAACTAGACTCAAAGTTCACGTCTATCACTTTTAAGCTATATACTGATGCTTTTCCAAACTGTTGCATATCTGACTGTATGATATAAATTGATGATTATTGGATGTTTCTCTAATCTGGGTAATTCTATCTACCTTATTAATATGATTACCAACGAAATTTCAATGCATAGATTGCCAATGTGTCCTAATTTTTTATCCGTAGCCTAAACTAGACATTCATTCATCAAAGCATGAATGTTTCAGCGATGTTTGAACGAAAGAAAATCTTTGAAAATATAAAACTAGAATATATCTCTTTGTCGCCTATAGTTGACAATTAATGAAAGAAGTGTATATACTTAATTCACCGAATATAAAAAAACTGTAGAAATTTAATTAACGAAAACTATTATAGAAAGGCTAAATTTATCGGTTACAGCCAATAAAGTTCACATAAGTAGTGTTTTCGATTATCTTTCAACTAGACACAAAGTCGAGATGCGAAAAGTAGAGGCCAAACATTTAGCTGCGGAAAAGCTGCGCCGGGAAAAGTGGGAGACAGAAAAAGCAAAACATCTTAAAGTGAGTAGTTTTTTGTATGACCTTTATTGCATTTATCTGCCAATATACATCGCGTTATGTTACATTACCTACAATATTATAGAAGTAATTCACAGTAATGTTTTAAGTGTATGGAAAGCGGTTAGAGATAGCATTCATTGTGAATGTGTTAGAGTAATGCTGACGCGTGTTTACTGATGATGATTGAGTGTTCTTTAAATCTTGGTATCTGATCATTAAAAGGTCCTATTAATACTCCAGATAACTGTTCACTTCATTTCAGAAGCATACAAAGAGGAAAGTCTGTAGAATATAACCTGTATACAATTTGATATAGTGCTTTAAGTCTGTATGGATTAGATGCAAAGGGTCTTTCATGTGTTCGAATAAAATAAGCAGTTATTTTTTATTGACAGTTATCATATACTTTTTTAAAGAAATAGCTCATTTAAAGTAGTTGCTCGTTTTCTTCATTTTCCCTTATTCTACATATGATCAGTGTTTTATAAGGACTATTTAACTAAGAGATCCAAGATATCAGGGAATTTTAGTTAAACTTTATTATCTATTCACATTTGCAGTACTGACAAGTTATTCAATGGCTATCCATATTGGTGCTAAAAAGTTGATATTGGATATGATTATAAAGTAATTGAATGTATTTATGTTTAGTTATGCATAAAAAGAAATTAAAAAATGGATATCCTGATTCACGACACTGAGGTGGTCGGAAATCACTTAATAAAAATTCCAAACGCTTTATAGTAGCTGATACTATATCAAACCTAAACACGATATTCTAGCTTCTCAACAGACTACTTTATTCATTCTTCTTAAATTACATTTTGACCTTGTCACTTATTCGGTTATTAACCCTGACCGTTTATATATGGTCGTACGTGTGGACCAAAAAGTATAATATCCAAAAATCAGTGATAAAGTTATTACGTCCAAAATTAATGTAACAATAATAATTTATAAATTAACAACACAAATTAAAAGTTCAGGGACGTTACTTAAATCGGCTAGTGGTTGCGTATTCTGTTGAGTTTTGGTCCCATAAATCCACAATTATAAATGTGTAATAATTCCACGGAGGTAAATATGACACCAATAAGTTTCTTTGACGTGGGATATAATGGAAATGACACAGCAGTCTAAAATGAGGATAATATCCAGTTTAGAACACAATTGACTCGGTAACGAGCGAGAATAGAACAATGGGTATGTGCATAGCAGTGTATTTGCGAACCACCGAAAGTATGTCACGCTATGTTAGTAACACAACGGAAAAAAGTCTTCAAGGTCATTTACTTAAACAACAGATACAATCATTTAATGATAAATGTACATTCAGTGAGAAATTGACAAATACAAATAATATTAAAAACTATTTACAAGATAAGCTTGTCAGACCTATCTCCACATAGCTCCCCCCAGAGTGTCCGGAGGTAACACTGGTTATAATAAAAAAAATGTAAGAATATGATATATGTGTATATACAAAAATAATATTTACAGTTATAACCAACAAAAGTTGTAGAGATGGATATGACATAAACATGAATAAGATGGAGTGTGTTGTCGTTTGAGAATAGCAATAATGTAGCATAGCATAACAAATACAAAAAAAAGAAAAGGAAATACTGTCATTTAATGTCTTGCTTGGCTAACAAGGATAATAATGTGTAAAACTTTTAATAACCCACACACACAAAAAAAATTGAGCTGTTTATTTTTGTGTATAATGAATAAATAATTAAAAAGAGTTTACCCGTTTATTATTGTTACAATTTTTTTTTAAAAAAAAATGTGACAAAACGAATAATTGTGAAAAAAAATGTGATTAATTATGAACACTGTGAAAAGAAAAAAATTTTTTAGATGAGATTAATAGTGTAGGTCCTCGATAATTGTTTGCTTTGATTGTCTTATTTGTTTTGTTTTTTTATATAGCAAAATGTACATAACGCTTTGGTTTTTTTATAAGTCTCCCAGATCGTGTTAAACAAGAGGGTGTAGTGCTAAGTTTTTCCTCTTCCTCTTGTTTCTTAGCAATTGATGGGAGTGATTGTTTGTTCGCAGCATTATCTTCTGTGGTTTGAGGGACTTCGTTGAAAGCTGGTTTTATTCGGTCTATAGAAATTGTCTCATGGTTCCCATTTTTGTTGATAATGAAATATTTGTCAGTGCGTTTTATTACTTTATAAGGGCCTTCATATGGTGGTGTCAGTGGCTTTTTTACCGCGTCTACTCGAACAAAAACAAATTTGCACGTTTCTAAATGTTTATCAAGATGAACTCGGTTGTCGTATTCTCGAGGTGGTATTGCTCTGATGCTCTGCATCATTTGTAGTAATCTGCTTACAAAGCGAGAAGGGTCTCCTGGTGTTGTGGGTTCATTCTTGACCAGTTGTCCTGGTAACGTTAATGTCGTGCCATAGACTAGTTCAGCGGCCGTGCATCCGATGTCTTCCTTCACTGACGAGCGAATCCCAAGGAGAACGAGCGGTAAAGCATCGCTCCATTTTGAAGGGTCCGGTTGTGCCATCAGATAGCTTTTTAGTTGGCGATGGAATCTTTCAACCATGCCATTAGCTGCCGGATGATAAGCTGTCGTTTTAACATGATTTACTCCAAGAAGTTTAGTGAACTCGTTAAATAGGACGGATTGGAATTGGGGACCGCGATCTGTTGTGATTGTTGATGGTACGCCAAAGTTGGATATCCAGCGGTCGAGGAAAACTGAAGCGACTGTTTCTGCCGATGTGTCTTTAATGGGGCATGCTATGGCCCATCTAGTGAACCTATCTATTGCGGTGAGGATATGTGTGAAAGAGTTTGATGGTGGCAGAGGCCCAACTAAATCTAAATGCACGTGCTGGAAGCGTTTGTCAGGGATAGGGAACTTCCCAATCGGACTGTAGGTGTGTTTTTGCGTCTTACTGCGTTGGCACTGGAGACAGTTACGTGTCCAACGTTTAACATCCGAGTTAATTTTAGGCCACACAAAACGTTCGGTAATGAGCTTTGCTGTTGCTCTGATGCCTGGATGTGAAAGACCATGTAAATGCTGAAATATTTTTCGTCGGCAAGCGTGTGGGACAAACGGACGATTGTTGCCTGTTAAAGTGTCGCATATGATAAATGTATCTGAAAGAGGAATCGGTACAGGTTTGAGATCTAAGCTAGACTTTTCTTTGCAGGCTTTCAATTCTGCATCGTCTGCTTGTAATTTAGCTAAGGTTTCAAGGCTGATGTCATGATTGAGTACCATCGTATTGATATCCCTCCTAGATAGTGCATCAGCAACAATGTTCATGTGACCTTTGATGAACCTGATGTCTGTGGTAAATTGGGAGATATAATCAAGTTGTCTTGCTTCTCGTGGGGAGTGTTTGTCATACGATGTGCTAAAAGAATGGCAAAGAGGTTTGTGATCTGTCATAATGATGAAATCACGACCCTGTAGCAAAAAGTTGAAATGTTTTACTGCTAAATACATAGCTAAGAGTTCGCGTCCAAAAGTACTATAACGTTCTTGTGCTGGCGATAATCTCTTGGAGAAAAAAGCAATGGGGGTAATAGTGTTGTTTACCCGCTGTTGTAATACTGCCCCGACGGCTTTTTGTGAAGCATCCGTGCATAGGATCAACAGTGTTGTGGGGTCAGTATTTAGGTGTTGGAGCATGGTAGCATTAGCAATCATGGATTTAGCTTTTTCAAATGCTATTTTGGCATCGGAAGGTAACTTGAATATTTGGTTCTTTTCTTTCTTGGTACCTGATTTATCGTTTTTCAGTAAATCTGTCAACGGCTATAGTACATCGGCGCAATTTGGTAGAAATCGTCGATAAAATTTGCATGTTCCGAGAAAACGACGTTGTGATTTTACTGGGGTTGGTTCTGGGTAGCTGGTGATGGCTTCGACCTTTTCTTCAAGCGGTTTAATTCCCTGGGAATCAATGTGATATCCCAGGAATTCCAGAGATGAGGCGCCAAATATACACTTCGAAGGGTTGATGACAACACCATAACTTTTGAAACGTTCGAAAAGCGCGTGTAAGTGCTGAACATGTTCTTCAGTGGAAGAACTAGCGATTAAAACATCGTCTATATAGACAAATACAAAATCCAAACCTCTAGTTACTTCGTCCATAAATCTCTAAAAGGTTTGAGCGGCGTTTTTTAGTCCGAAAGGCATCCTCAAGAATTCAAACAAGCCAAAAGGTGTGATTACGGCTGTTTTCTCGATATCCTCAGGTACCATCGGTATTCGATGATATGCTCGGACTAGAACTTACTTCGAAAAGATGTTTTCCATGTAGATTTAAAGAAAAATCATGCAGATGAGGGATCGGATATCTGTCTGGGATAGTCTAGTTATTTAATCGGCGATAATCTCCACATGGGCGCCAGTCTTGATCTCTCTTGGGAACCATATGCAACGGCGAGGCCCATGGACTGTTAGATTGTCTGATTATCCCAAGTTGCATCATGTGTTCGAATTCTCTCTTAGCGAACTGCAACTTGTTTGGACGGAGTCTTCTCGCCCTGGCGCGGATAGGTGGTCCTGTAGTAGTAATACTGTGTTGGACATGATGTGTGGAGCATTCGTTTTGGTAATCAGCTCTGGTTATACTTTCATACTTCGACAGGATATCGGTGAAAATTTTGTTTTCAGGTCTTAACATACGGACTCCATGAATTTCGTAACTGGAGATAGTTGTGCCACTGACCTGTAAGCTTGTGTTTTTGTCGATTAGTTTCTTTTTTGCCATATCTACAAGTAGGTTGTAAGCACCGAGAAAATCGGCCCCGATAATGGGTTGTTTGATTTCAGCTACGATGAAAACCCATGTGAAACGTCTCCGGAGACCGAGATCTAAAATAAGTGATTGTTCGCCATAAGTCTTAATGACTGTGTTATTGGCTGCGACTAGAGACAATTTAGTACTCTGAGGGTGCCGTCGTTGAGAGAGGTGTAATGGGATAATGCTGATTTCGGCTCCCGTATCGACCAAAAAATCTGAGCCCGAAATTCGATCCCTGACATGAAATAGACGGCTCGGGTAGTGGCCAGAAACAGGCGCCGCCATCACTGTCTGGCCGGGCCGTTTCCCTGATTCTCTGTGTCGGACGCAGAAAATGTGCACGGTCGTGTACAACGCCGTGCTTTGGTGCCGTATTTTTGGTGGTACCAACAAACATCAGATGTTCGCTTCGGTGACCTAGACCGTTGTCTAGAAAAAGATCTTCGTCTGGAGGGGGATCTCGATTGTCTAGCTTGGATGGTTGCTATGGTTGATTGCAGAGACGCTAGCTGGCTCGTTAAATGCGTTAACTGCTTTTGAAAGGAGACTAAACAGCTAATATCTAGTGGTCCAGGTGGTTGCAATGAGTTCACACCGTGACTATCATGGTAGACTTCCATCATTTTATCCGCCATGTCGGCTAAGTCATCAAGTGCGACGGATTTCTCTGAAACACTGAGAATTTGTCTAACGCTGTGTGGTAATCTTTGAAACCACATTTGCTTTAAAAGGGCTTCGTCTAGCTTGTATGGACCGGCGAGTTGTTTCAATGGCTCAAGTCCATGAAGTCACTGACAAGTGAACTGAGTCATGTTGGTAGGTGTAGACTACCTGGTTGGGGACCGCGAGATGACAGCAACCGATGGTTAGAGACCCTGAATGACATGGCCCAAAATCGTTCGCAATGGCGCAGGTGCATCCACTCTCTGTGTTCTCCCAAACTCTAATCTTCTGAATTCTTCATGTCCCTTTTCCCCTCTTTCCAAATTTCTTTCACTGGATTATACTCTTTAAATAACATCTCCAAACCCTAATCTTCCCGATTACTGCTTATACTCTTGCTACCTGTACCACTACGGGATTTGAATCGACCACTGCATCTGTGTGCTAATGTGGTGTGGCAACTCGAACTGATGTACGTACGTACGAAGTTCTACGTTGTTACTGACTGACTGACTGACGTGTGCCAATTACTTATCCTATTTATTAAGTGTCTGTAACATATTTTTGTCTGAATATAAATATTGATCAATACGAGTTAGTTAATTCGCCTTATCTACTGAGTGTCATTTCGTTTTGCTTCGCTCTCTCCTCTACGCTTCCTTCTCTTAGTTTCTTGATTGTTTGTTCAGATCAATGAGTGTACAAAATATACGTAGACACTCGGGTGGACGTGTTTTATTTCTTACCGGAAAATAATTCCGTAGATCATTTTATTCACTTTTTAATCAAACTGAATACATATTCATAAATGTTCGTGTTTCATTCAGGAAGTGGGGGATAACTTTATGAAACGTTCACTGATACAATGAAACTTTTATCATGGAGATAGTTTACCTACACAAGTATCTATGGAGTTAATTTATAAATGATTTGCATTTTTTTACTATTCACAACATAGATTATAAAGGACAAGTGATGAACAGAATCAAATGAGAATTTGAGCATAATTGAATTCGCTCATATTTTATATAAGGAAAAGGGTCATATCTTGATATTTTCCTGTATTAATTTCATTTTGGTTTAATAGGACGTTACTATTCGTGGGATGGAAAATGAAGTAGCCCAAATGATCGCAAATCACAAGGCTGAAATGGCAAGTTTGCGTCAGTCATGCGCTCAACAAATTCAAGCAGCTGATGTACGCGCCTATCAAGCTTATATTAGTCACATTGAAGAACTAAAACAGACGTTGATAAAAGAAAAAGATGAAGCCTGCTGTAGAGAAAGAGAACTTGTTGAACAACGGTAGTTAGATAGCCTTTTTGTAATTACTAATACTTTCTTATTGAAGTCGCAAATCGAACAAAGTTAGACAACCATTAAAAACCTGGAAGTAATGGACGGCCATTTTGTGAATGTGTATTAGAAACTCATTTTAAGCAAGAACTATAACTATTACTGCCGATTTTTTTTATGTGAATTATGTGATCTTTTGTGAGACAAATTTAAAAAGCTGAGATTTCCAAATTTTTTTTACCTAAAAAGGATGTTTTAATAAGTAGTAAACTGAGATCATAAGATTATTATTTTGGTATACCTTCAGGTGGGTTTTGGTATAGTTAGAATATGATATGGACACTCAAGCTCCTTTCATGACTAATTCATTTCCGCTACTGTAATCGCCTTTGAACTATCACACTCAAGGTTCTCAATCAACGATTACTGGCATTTGATGACACCAAACCAGAAAGTCTGTATTCTGAGAATTCATTTGATGGAATTGGTCAGGAAGTTGATAAGCTAGTAATTTTCGACCGAGTTATAGTATACAATTTGTAGAATATTACTGCCCACAGAGCCGGAGGGTTTCAGCATTATTGACATGCAATTTTGCTTGGAGATTTATTTGCTCATTTGTATCATTCAATCTGGAACTCATTCTATACCTATAGATCTTTCATGAGTTTCAGTCACGAGACAAGTGCGAGATATTTCATTCTTTATTAGTTAGCTATCTGTTATGAACTATCTGATGATACATAACCGCCTGAATTATGTTAGCCCAAGTTTACTTTAAGTAGATATAATGATTTGTTAATTTTGTCCACATTACAGTACTCTCTTCATAGGTGCAGCTGGATGATGAGATCGTTTTTATCAATTTTATCGGTAACCCTATTCAGTTAAATTAATTTACGAAAGTTTTCGATAGCATTGTTTGTCAGGTTATTCATTGTAATAGCTCAATCTCTTATTGCTGCTAACACTATGGTGTTATTCCGATTTCGACTCCATTTTTATCAGTGCGTAACAATGAACTAAAACGAGGCTGTGAGACCATTTTCAGCCAACCTATATCTTCTTTAAGCACGTATCCATTATCAGTAATGGTTTAACTTAAACAGTAAAATTACTTAGTCATCTTTATTAGTTTCTTTCTTTATGTTATTAGGTTTATAAATACTGTTCCGCATAGAAAGATTTACTCATCTTAAAGATTTTAAAATACAGAATTTTGCTTAATTGTAGATTAAATCAAACTTTAGCAGAAGAACGTAATTCTTTGGAAGCCCATAGACGTAGATTGTTAGATGAGATTTCTGATGAACGTGAAAGATTGACATTGACTGCATCTAAACAAAGGGCTGAAATGGATACTCTTAGGAACAATTTAGAAGTTGCCTTGACACAAGCTAACGAACAACATAAAATGGAAATTGAACAATTAAGGGCGGATTTGATTCAAAGACATAAGGTCAGTTTTTATTATATACGTATAATATTATTGCTTCATGGTTATTTATTTTATATTCTTGATCGAAATTCAAGCAATAAGGAATTTAGCAAGTACCGTTGACTGATTTCATGTAACAGATGAGAACAGAGAATGCTTGGTCATCTTTATTCAATTTATTTTCTTCCATTAATTTAAAATGGTATATTTATGTCGAAAATTTCAAACTAAGTGGTTCTTAGGATTCTTAACGAACAACTGTCGATCAACTAAAAAGTTCTAAGTAAGACGTTCTTCTTGCTGAGTTAGAAAGACTTTGTTATAAAATTTCACTAGGGATATCTTAAATTATTTGAAGATGCAGACCAAAAGTTCTTCGGTTATTAGATTGGTTGAGAAATGCCACGAGGGATAGGTCACTATGTATATCCTGAGAATTACTAGCACTAAACAGCCTAGAGAAATCCAGTAATTGTCGTCCTTGTTTAGAGTTAGTTAACAAAACTGTTCACCGAATAATACAAAAATGCTCTGATAAACATCCCGTAGCTGAGTACCCTGGTTATACTAATGACACAAACTTTTCAGAGACTCTTAGATTTCCACGATTTCTTACAAGTTATTTCTCAGTTGTTTATGGAAGATTTATCATATATTGCAGTCATTCTTCTTCGCTGTGAACAAGTTAGAAAGTCTTTACTATTTTGATTGATCCATGTTTCCTGTGAGGAGTGTGGTGGGGAGTTAAATGTATTCGTTATTGACTATTTTTTTAAAATTACTCATATAATTGGTTTGATCTCACTTTCTGAGTATGTGATTCAAACCAATCAGTTAATCACCCTTAGACCAAAACCCAACGATTTTAATACAATCTGGATAGTTAAATCCTATGGTCAACCGGTGGGTTTTATCGGATTGCACAAGCTGTAGTTTAATTTTTTTTTAATTGTCTCAACCGGTTCAGCTCTTTTTGAAAAGTGAATTTTTTAAGTAACTAAAATGTAATTATTGCTGAATGAAAATGAAAAATAATCACGGGAAGACAGAGTATGAGTAAAGGATCTCCTCAATGATGAAAATCTAAATGATCATAGATAAATAAAGTTTTAAACAAGTCTATACTGAACGCTTGTTCAAATAAGTTCAACAATTGATTTTTTTATAATGAGATTGTGAATCACTTAATATGGAACATCAACAGAATATTGCAAATGAGGTGGGTGTTCTTGTTTGCTATTAAAATTAAGAATTCAGTGAACACAAAGCTTTTGGATATGAAAATAGTAATAGTTTTGTGTTTTATTAAACTTTGAGTACATATGACTAAATTGATCTCATCGACGTATCTATTGAAAGGAAACAGTAGGATAGTGTGCTGTGATATCAATTAAAATTAACTGGAAATATATACATTGTTTACCTATTCAAATAATTAATTTCATACATCCTGTTGTACATTCTTATCATACAGAAAACCAACGTTTGAACGTGGTTGGACAAGAATTTAGTATAGGCTGTCTGTGAGATTAATTCGAAAATGCTCTTTACATCTATTAACACTGAATATCAGAAGACATATTTTCGTGAGAATGAAAGATTTTAACCTTGAGAATTATGATTTGGTATAATTTTACTAAACAAAACCATAACTGTTTTAATTATTATTCAGCATTATTATACTCTGAATAAAATAATAATCACTTTTCTTGCATTATTAAACTTAACACGTAAATGTAATGATTTCTAACTAACTAACCAATTATAACATAGCCTCAGATCACCACCTAGTTGTGGCCAATTTAAAACTGAAGCTAAAAAAACTGGACAACTGGATAAACAACATTAAAAAGGTTCAATACAGCCTTCCATCGAGATATTGACAAACTCAACCAATTCAAGATAACTCTCAACAATAGGTTCCACGCCTTGCAGGATCTACTGAAAGAAGAAAAAACTACTATAGAGGTGTTATGACTGTGAAAATTGTTGCTGATTAAGGGGTAGCGAATTATTGATCGGACCAAGGACGCACAAACACGTAGAACGACCTAGGGTTCTGATTGGTCCCGCTTCCCTATCTAACCTAGCCAGTTAAGTCCAGAACACAAGTCACAGCCTCGGATATATGAATCATTATATTTCAAACATACTTTGTTTATATACCAGTCAAGCAGACCACAACTTACCATAAAATAGAAAATAACATTGTACAATAACGGCCAACAGGAAAATAACACGTTAAATAAATCTTGACCGATAAGATGATACCATTTCGTGTCCAAGGATAGCATTAGGCTTAACAGGATAATTTTTGGGATATTTTCCTGAATATCCCAACAAGAGGACAACTGGAAAGGGATCAAAGAAGCATTAACTTCAACGTGTCAAGAGGTGCTGGGCCGAAAGAAGTATCATCATAAGGAATGGATCTCCATCGGAACACTGTACAAGATTCAAAAAAAGAACAAGAAAACAGCAACTAAAAACAGCTGAGCCAGAACAGAGAAAGTTCAAGAACAAGCTGACTACATAGAAACAAACAAGCGAGTGAACAAGAGCATTAGAGTCGACAAGCAGAAATACTTGGAAGAACTAACAACGACGGCGGAAAAAGCTGCAAGAGAAGGAAATATGAAGCAGCTTTACGATACAACGAAGAAACTAGCAGGAAAATATAGTAAACCAGAGAGACCGGTCAAGGACAAAGAAGGCAGGCCAATCACTGAAATTCAACAACAGCGGAACAGATGGGTAGAGTATTCCTGAATAGGCCGGCTCCAATGAACCCACCGGACATCGAAGCAGCACACACAGATCTTTCTATAGATGTCAATCCACCAATGACGGAAGAAATCAGAATGGCCATCAGACAAATCAAGAGCGGGAGAGCAGCAGGACTTGACAACATACCAGCTGAAGCACTGAAGTCAGACATCAAAGTAACTACAAACATGCTTTACCCTCTATTCAAAACGATTTGGGAGGAGGAACAAGTGTCGATTGACTGGAAAGAAGAACACGTCATCAAGATACCGAAGAACCGAGATCTGAGCAAATATGAAAACTATAGAGGAATCACACTACTATCAGTACCAGGAAAGGTTCCCAACAGAGTGTTGCTGAACCGGATAAAAGATTCAGTAGACACTCAACTTCGAGATCAACAGACTGGATTCTGTGAGGATCGGCCGTGCACAGACCAAATCGCGTCACTACGGATCATCGTCGAACAATCAATTGAATGGAATTCGTCACTATACATCAACTTCCTTGATTATGAGAAAACATTTGACAGTGTGGATAGGAGAACCTTATGGAAACACCTACGACATTGTGGTGAACCCGAGAAGGTCGTCAACATCACCCGGAATTCATACGACGGACTACACTGCAATGTGGTGCATGGAGGACAGCTGACAAATGCATTCCAAGTGAGGAACGGAGTCAGAAAAGGCTGCTTGCTGCCTCCCTTCCTCTTTCTTCTGGTAGTTGACTGGATTGTGAAGAGCTCGACATCAGGTGGGAAGCACGAAATAAAATGGACAAGTTGGGTAGAACTAGACGATTTGGATTTCGTAGATGACCTGGTTCTTCTGTCCTATGCACAAGAACAAATGCAGATGGAGACAACTAGTGTGGCAGCAGCCCCTGCATCAGTAGGCCTCACCGTACACAAGGGGAAAAGCAGGATCGTTAAATATAACACAGAGAACACCAACTCAACCTCACTTGGTTGAGAATCTCTGGAAGATGTGGAAACATTTACGTATCTGGGAAGCAGCACCGATGAACGAGGAGGTTCAAATGCAGACGTAAATGAGAGAATTCGCAAAGTAAGAGCCTCATCCCTTCAATTGAAGAACATATGGAACTCAAAACAACTTTCAACCAATATCGAAGTCAGAATCTTCAATAAGAACGTCTAGGCAGTCCTAGTGTATGAAGCTGAGACGTGAAGAACTACTACAACCATCATCAAAAAGATACAAGTATTTGTAAACAGTTGTAATCAGTGTCCGTTTACCGGATACCATCAACAACAGTCTACTGTGGGAGAGAACAAACCTGTTTCAATCAGAAGAGGAAATTAGGAAAAGACGATGGGGATGGATAGGACATACACTACGCAAATCAACAAACTGCATCATGAGGCAAGCCCTAACTTGGAATCGTGAAGGGAGACGGAGAAGTGGAAGGCAAAAGAACACATTATGTCGGGAAATAGAAGCAAATATGGAAAGGGTGAATAACAAATGGGAAGAGCTGGAAAGGATTGCCCAATAAAGGGTTGGATGGAGAATGCTGGTGAGCGGCCTATATTCCTCCGTGAGGAGTAATGGGAGTAAGTATGTACTTGGAATAAACTTACGAGACAATAGCGATGACTAAACTTTAATATTAACAATCTATAATCATCGATTTTATTGTTCTGGTTACAAACATTTCCTTTAGCCGGCTTAAATAATTTCTTGATTGATTAGAGGTTACAGATGAGTAAGAGCATATTCAAGAAATTTTAGTGCACCAGAAATAATTTCCATAGGAGACGTGATACTCTCATGTCGAAGGACCATCTGGGAAAGGTATATGCTTGCATTACCAAACATTTGGTAAGATGGAAGGTAATGACACAAGACTACCTGGTCCTTATCAACATTTTGAGTCCATCATTACTCCACTAAAATTGGATTCAAGTTTTTTGAAAATGTTTTCGTCCGTTGCCTTAAAATACGTGTACACTTGTTGTGAACAGTCGGAAACTTATTTAGGAGAAAAATGTGTCCAATCCATAAAGTTTTCCATAATCTGTTCCAGACTGGCACAACGGTCTATACTTTATTTTTAAATAGAAGAGCAAATCTACCTAAAACAACTGTAAGATTCCCCAGGGACTTCATTTTTAACATTTGAATAGGTGTGAATTCCTATTTATATACATCACATAACTGAGGACAAAAATTCTTAAAAATGTCAAGTAAATAAAATGCTTCTCCCTCCCCCTCTTTTTATTTACTTATAAGGATGAAATAGCTGAGTTGAATCAACGTAATTTGGCTGAACGTACAGCATGGGAAGAACATACTAAGTCATTGTTGGAATCCCAATATACTTCTAGAGAGACTATACTGAAGGAACAGCTCAAGAAAGAACGAGATCGCTTGTTAGAATCTGCAGTTCAACGTCTTGAAGCTGAAGCAAATGAAGCAAGGTTAGAAACTGATCGTCAAGCAGAACTGAAGGTGAAGTAAGTTCACATATTTAAAGCACTTCAGTTTACTTCTTCTTTAATTCAGACGTGTACGTGAAAAATTCCAAGCTGAAATAGAGGAACTTGAAAGATCAGAGAGACAAGCAATGGAGAAATATTGTCTGATGAAGGTCTGTAAAATTTTTGCACTCTAAAATCTGTGATTATTATTGGTTTATTTGAAACCTGTTGATGAATTAGAAATTTACGTTCACCGACTGATAAATATCCGTATACTTTTAAACCAGATACATTTTATTTGTGAACTTTAACTTTTCAGTTCGATAAAGAATTCAACTCATTGTTGGATGCAAAGATTTTTGTGACCAAAGACTACTTTCCATATTAGCAAACTACTTGCAACAGTATTTTATAAATACATTACAGTAAACATTTATCTCTTGTATTCATCTCTTTATAGACTCAATTTTTAGATAAAGAGCATGAAGCAGATAGACTTCGGTCACAGTTGACGCAGAAAGATCAGGAGTTAGCTGAAGTTCGCTTATTATACGAAAAACTTAATCAAGAACGCCAAAACATTTCAGATGTAATACGTCAGGAATTTGCTGATCGCCTTGTTTATGTGGAAGAAGAAAATAGGTCGATGAAACGTGAGTTAGCCGAACTGAAGGCCCGTTTAAAGGCTGAACAAGAAAGACATGAAAAAGAAATTGATGCTATTAAGAAATTGAACAACTCAGAAATAGAAACAGTTCACCTAAAGTAATGACAAACTTTGATTTTGAGTTTCCTTGTTTGTTTTTTCCATTTTTTTATAGCCCAATTATTTCATGTCATTCATGAGACCTGATATTAGATGCTTGGAAAAGTCCTAACAAGGTGCTGTACCATAAACTTTGTTGATGAGTTAGTAGTAGCTTTTAATCTGCAGCACTTATAACTGAGGAACATTGGATTTTAAATTTTATATTTTTGTTAGGTTCCAACTTTGCATGAAGTGAAAATATTTGTATTTTCATTTTCTCGTTGTTGGTATAAAGGACACCTACTGGTCAAATTCTCTTAAGATGTGTGCACCTTGAGGGGGCTGCCTCAATATTACCTTTGTCTCAGAATTTAGTATGTTTGGCTGCATATTTGACCTATTACTTGGATTTATTTACATTAATAATGGGATAATACAAACTCCTAAAAATGAATTCATATATGTTGAACTGGGTTAATTGAATTCAGTAGCTTATTTGACAAGCCTTTGAAATTTAAAGCAATACATACTGGGTTCGAGTCCTAGTCTGAACATCCAGGCTGGGATGCAAGTAAATCCTAATGGCGAACCCCAAATAGAACGAAACGCGCAGCTTGGATTTCACTGCAGCCTACAACTCAAAAAGTGAAAATAGTTTACTCAATGAGATTAAACTGTTAGAAGTAAAACGTTCTTGTTTTTTAACTAAAATAATACAACCAATTGTTTTACAAACTGTGCACCGCCAATTGTTTTGAGTATACCTTGCATTTATAACTATGTGTTTGTAAAGCGGTTGGAACTCAATGTTCCACATAGAATGTAGTTTTAAAAGTGAACAACAAAAACTGTATCCGTAAAACAGACAAAATTTTCCTTCTTACCCTTTATAGAATTAAAGAGATCATTAAAAAGAAAGAGGAAAAATTCGCCATATTGCGAGAAAGCTTTCAAAATGAACTTGAGAAGAAGGATCGTGAATTGGACGCAGCCAATCAGAGAGCTCAACATTTGGAAGAGTTGATAGACCATCAAAGCAAACAGTTTCTACAAGCCAATCACTAATACTTTTTAATAAAAAGTATTTTGAAGATTTTTCATTTGAAAATACCCAATCGTTGCTTAATTATCTCTACCATGGCAACCTTGCCTACCAAGTTTTTAAATTAAAAACTGATGCATGCCATAGGTTTTTGATTATAGCATTCTACGTTATTTCTAGAACAAAAAATCATTCTAATAAGCCTACCGACCAAAATATTTTAACTCGAAAATTGATCCATTCCTTTTACGTGATTACTGGCCTGTATAGCTTTCCATAAAAAGCACCACAACAGTGAAATATGAACATTTAGTTATTTACTGGACAGATAACTGGAAAAACAAGTATACAAATATAACTCTACACAAAAATTTCTGGGTTTAAGGTTTCACACGTCGTATGAGAATAGGAAATCAAAAAAAGTGAAAAACAAAATGAAATAAACCGTTTTAAGTTCGGGAAAATATAAATGTAAGGAAAAAATAAACTACCACTTACTAATAGTTCTATTATTATCAAACCCGAAATGAAAATTCAAAGAGGAGTCTACTTACTTAAGTAAAAGCAGAGAAATGAAACCAACTGTTGATTTTATGAAATAAAATATACTCGCACACGTTTCAAGTTTATATTTTCATCCTCCCTGTAAGTCTTGGAAAATAAGACGATTGCTTTAAATGTTCAGTTCTTAGTAAAAAAACATGAGGGTTCTAGAAAAATAAAGTAGTCCAAGATACTGAGTGAAGTCAAATAATGTTTACTCCACTTCTGTCACATTCATAAAGTGTACGTATTTTTAACAAAAACCTAACAGAACTCATAAAATAATACCACCATTTTCAGGTTTGGCTTTATTACTTAACATAATAAGCCAACGTTCATAAAAGTTTGGCGACCCAACGTCAACATAATCATTAAAAATAATTTGAATAGTCATGTTAGACAATTACAACTTATCAGTATTGGGGGATATGTGATTATAGAATTTTCATAATTTGAACCACAGACGGATAAAAGCTAACCATTAAAACCGTTGGATGTAGGTTGATTGATCTAGAGACAGTATTTGCAATCGACAATTAGGGTCTTAAGTTCGACTTTGGCATGCGAGGTCAGATAAGTGCACTGCTGTGATGTTCCACATTAGGAAAAATTGACCGTTCAATGCTTCTAGTTTTCAATGGTTGTCATTTCGCGATTCAAAGCATGAAAATTAAAAATCAGATTATCACATTTTTATAGTTTAAGAGTTTTAGGTCCATGATCAAATAAATGTAAAAACACACGACAAATCTCAAGGTATCATGATGAGTTATGTGTGCTGATACTTTTGGAAACTAACGTCACTCTGTGTTTCTAATCCTGTCCGTCAGTCAGTTAGTAAGATATAGATGAGTACGATATTTCTTAAAAACAAATAGCGGAGGGTAACTGTTTTTCAGCGAAAGACCTATGCAAACTAATGTACATCAGCACACACAAAACACAGTTTAAATAATCACACAAGATCCAATACAAATCAAATAACACATAATAAACCCTGCTTGCCTAGATACGCTCTGATGATAACCCAACTGTTGTTTCTACCTTGAAGTTGTGGCCGGTCTCGCCTATCGTGACGAAATAATCGGGCTGAACTAGCTGGAGCAACCGTTCTTCAAGATCTTACCATTCAGGGCAGGTCTGTAGCGTGGCGTCGAGTTGAGATTAACTATGAACACCGCTACCAGGAAACACGTGCCAGATAAATCAGAAGGCGAGGGTTGGACGTAACCAAATAGATCCATAAAATCCCCGAGAAGCCAAATATCAGAAGACAGTTAATGGACCAAGTCGAGGTTTATTTGCTGGCGATCTCGTGGCATCGAAAGGATACCGAGATCGTGCCAGGATACAACCTTGGTTACAGAAGGTAACCGAATTCGCGCGAAGTTATAATCCAAGTGTAAGTGAAAGAATGGAAGCACAAAATAGCTGTCATTAGCACAGTCAAACAAAAGCACATTAAAACAAACACTGGTACAGTTGGTTGTAATAATAATTGTTTTTATTAAACCAGTCGTGTTCTCGTGATAAACGTGAGTCACCACAGGAGCCCCCTGCTAGAAAGGGTTTACACTTTCGATAAATAGCGGTTTGAATCGTGGGACTGATCGGCTGACGAGCGATTGTAGGACGGAAGAATTGGCGAACAGGAAAGCGATCGTCGATCGTCGAGTTGCCAACGAAAGTCGTTTTCGGAGAACAGTACCAGGAGCGATGTGTTGTATTTATTGCTCGAGTCGGCATGCTACACCAGAGTGGTTTGTATCCAGAATCTGAAGAGGGCGTTCGTACGGGTCCGGACCATAAACGCTGCAGACGAAGGACGAAACCACGTTGAGCCGATGAACCAGAAGCGACCATAACGACCATGTTCGAGACCAAGCATATGCCAAGCATTCGAAACCAATATATCGACTGAGTACGTTGACAAGAGCGTGGGTGGCCAATCCAGCTTTCGCCAAAGTTGACTGAAGTCGACGGAACCAAACGTAGATGGTCGAAGGCTTGGGCTCAGGAAACAAAAAGAAAATCAAAAAAAGAGGAGTGTAGCATACGTGTAGTATAGGAATAACCCTACACCGTATCGGTTGTTGACTGTGCGACTATTCGCGGAAGCGTACGGGTAATCGTACTCGGCGACCGGAACGTGAGACGGCAGTCTCGTTCGCGTCGCGTGAGCCTGCAATCTCATCCGAAGTCAAGGGCGGCGTGGTCTGCTGATCTGGACGTGAGACTGTCGTCTCGTCCGTAGACGGTGCAGATGACGCGTGCTGTTGACCGGGACGTGAGAATGAGGTCTCAGATGTATCTAGCGTGGGACCTGAAGATGATTTGAGGATCCCGCTAGTAGGTTTGCTAGGTCTAGCATTGAATCTCAGGTTGTCAGATAGGGCACTGTCATCGACGTGTGCTGGTTTGAGACGATCAATGCTGACGATCGCGACGCGGCCGTGTCGATCAACCTTGAAGGTCTTTTCGTGACGAGCGATCACGCGAAAAGGGCCTTCGTAAGGTTGTTGCAAAGATTTGCGTACCGAATCTACTCGTACAAAAACATGTGAACAGGTAGATAACTCTCGAGGGAGAGCGACTTGTCGATGTTGTATTCGAGTTGACACCGGAGACAGCGTTCGCATAAATGCAGACAGTCGACGGACGTAGTCTGATTTACCGAAATTAGGTCTGCTCCGTGGTGTGAAGAATTCTCCGGGCAGACGCAATGTCGTGCCGTATACAAGTTCAGTGGCGGAACATTGGATATCTGCCTTTAAGCTCGTTCTCGCCCCTAAAAGAACGAGTGGTATGGTTTCGTGCCAGTTGCCGTTTTCGTGTGCTCGTAGAACACTTTTAAGTTGGCAGTGAAACCGTTCAACTTAACCATTTGGTGCTGGGTGGTAGACGGAGATGCTTATGTGTATGCATTCCGTACCAAGCAGCCGGGTCAGCGAGGAGAATCGTTAATAGGGTAACATTTCTCGAATAAAGCGTGGAATTCATCACGCGAATAAAAAGTGACAAGGATTCGGTACACATACGTGTGAGTCTATTATATTAATACTATTCTTATCGTTATCCGTCATGTCGCGTATATTATATATTAAAAATACGAAAATATACGACAGACGTGGATAGATAAATCATAGACTCACCGAATTGGCTTCTTTGGAAGATTTGATCAGAAGTTGAGGCGTGTTCCAAAATACGGCTCACCAATTGTAGCGTGGTGTCGAGTTGAGATTAACTATGAACACCGCTACCAGGAAACACGTGCCAGATAAATCAGAAGGCGAGGGTTGGACGTAACCAAATAGATCCATAAAATCCCCGAGAAGCCAAATATCAGAAGACAGTTAATGGACCAAGTCGAGGTTTATTTGCTGGCGATCTCGTGGCATCGAAAGGATACCGAGATCGTGCCAGGATACAACCTTGGTTACAGAAGGTAACCAAATTCGCGCGAAGTTACAATCCAAGTGTAAGCGAAAGAATGGAAGCACAAAATAGCTGTCATTAGCACAGTCAAACAAAAGCACATTAAAACAAACACTGGTACAGTTGGTTATAATAATAATTGTTTTTATTAAACCAGTCGTGTTCTCGTGATAAACGTGGGTCACTACAGGTCACTTGAAGAGCGGTAAAACTTAAATCAACAGACCCAAGGTTGAAGCCGTACTCCGACTGTACAAAGGTGTGACGGTAGTATGGTGTATCCTTCAGACAATCAGAGAAACAGCGATGCTGCCCTCCCACAAGGAAGGGTGGGCTAGAAAACGTCGACTCTAACAATGCACACCTCACATTGTCCCACATATTTCCGTCTCCAGTGGTAAGGTCTCAACATGTATGAAGCTAACACAGAAATACCCACAAGCAGATCATGCGTGATCGGTCCCAAGCAGTTACCTCTTGGGCATTATATTCAAGCTCTCAGATCACTAAGAATAACTCTAACACAATTTCAACCTATCTCAAATAGGCCAGCATGTCTCCTTGACTAAGACCCTAGGATTTCGTGCCATTGATGTATGCTGAGTCTCTGAAGCACGCATATAGGACCCTTGTTTGTCATTCACTTGACCTCACCTCGCCAAAACAGAGAGACGACGAGATGCACTGACTGCTTATCTGGCGACCCGATAAATAGTTCTCGTGGACTGGCGGGTGTATGCATAACACTACGTACGAGGGCAGAACAAGCGCTATTAAAATGGACCCCCATTAATAGTCGCCTATGTGCTGTTCGACTAAACGACTCGGTAAGAACTCGGAAGGATAGGCACACATGTCGTTGCCTTTTCGTCGTTTCTGCCTACACTCCCACTGACAGATGCCCGGATGAAATAAAAGATGGCTTTTACAAAAAGCTTTCTGAACTTCTTTAAAAAGCTAAACACTCAAACATAGTACTCGTAGCAGGTGACTCTATTGCCAAAGTCAATAGCTTAAACCAAACCGAAAGAGCTTTAGGCGGGTATTTTAGTATTCCGGCCCAGCGAAAAAATAATGGTGATCGTCTGCTGCAGCCGATCGTTTATTGTTAGCAAGCACTAATTTACTTATAAGGAGAGACATTGTCTATCATGGCGGCGACCACATGTATCAAACCAACAATGGACTCAAGTAGACCATATTGCCATCAGTCGTCGTTGGGATTCTCGATATAAGGCTGCCACTCATTCTGGAATATACATTTACACTCTGATCATGCTTTAATACGAGCACGAATTTGCATTCGCCTCAATCGACACAGAAAAATCGCACTAAGAAGACC